CGGGGAGGTTGGCAAGGTAGGTTGTTGGATTGCGGAGGAAGAGGGTTTGGTCGGTGGGGCTAAGGGCTAGGGAGGTAGTTGTTGTGGTGAGGAGGTTGGTTCTTGTTTTGTCAGTATCCTTAGTATGAAGGGGTTTGGAGAATAAGGCAAGCGTACAGTATCGTCCCGGCGATGGCGAGGCCTAGGGTTCCTCCTAGATTCCGCGTGAAGCTGTTTTCATACCCAAGGTGTCAGATTTGGGCCTGTATTGGGAATGGTTGGGATGCAGCGGCTGGGGCACGTACTTCCTGAACGATGTAGTCACGGCCATATCGCGTCGCGCGACACCCGCTTGGATCGCTATTAGGGCTCTTTGTGTATGGCTGGATCAGCATTGCGCTTGAACACAGATCCAAGTTGATTGGAAGAAAGGTAGCTCACGGCTGCAGTGTATTCCCCAGGCCAACGCCCGTCAGCAGCGCATATCCGATCTGCTTGCCCAGCCCCGAGGAAGCATCGAGGGTCGAGAAGAGCCCTAGTCCAACGGCCCAGGCGACCCAGCCGAAAAGAATGGGTTCCCGGTACCGGCCGAGCCAGTGCACCACCAAACCGGAGAGCGTGCTGCTCACCGCTAGTTTTTTATTAGTGATCCCTGTTTGGATACTTCTGGGAGGGGGAAAGGAGAGGAGGACGTACCAGCCATGATGGTGATCGGCAGCAGCATCGCCGCCGCCTTGAGCGCCGAGTACCCCATGGCCAGCTGGTAGAACACCGGGATGTAGTACAGCTGCACCAGGATATTCCACCCGTGCAGGAACATGGTGATGCACGCGCCGTTGACAATGCCCGACCGAAAGATATGCATCGGCACCAGCGGGTACGCCGTGCCTTTCCACTGCCAGACCACGAACGTGACACACAGCACCCCGCCGCCGGTGATGGTCCCGACGACCGGCGCCGAGCGCCAGGGCCGCTCCCCGCCGCCCCAGGTCAGGCCGAGCAGCAACAGCGATGTACCGCCCAATGCTAGGAGCGCGCCGAAGAAGTCAATGGCTTGGAGTTTGCGCTTCCAATCCTCCGTGACTTTGCGGAGCGGGAGGAAGAAGATCACGCAGCACACTGTCAGGGCTGTGAGGGGAAGGTTAAGCCGGAAGATCCACCGCCACGAGGCGTGGGTCGCCAGCAGACCCCCGATGACGGGGCCGAGGCCGTTGGACAGCGCGACGACAGCCCCCAAAATACCTTGGTACTTTCCGCGGGTGCGAAGAGGTACGACGTCACTGACGATGAGCTGCACGACGGTCACGAGCCCGCCGCCGCCGATGCCGGTGAAGGCGCGGAAGATGATGAGCTGGGTCGCGGTCTGGGCGAGGGAGGCGGCTAGCGAGCCGAGGAAGAAGATGGCGAGGCCGGCGTAGAGGACGTGCTTGCGGGACCAAACGTCGGAGAGGCGACCGTAGAGCAGTTGGAAGCATGTTGATGTGCTGGGTTGGGCTTGGTTAGGTGGTGGTCATTGGGGTATTCTGGGGGACGGACACAAAGTAGCCACCTGAGATCCAGGAGGTTTTGTCGCTGGCGTCAAGGGCTTCGCCTATGATCGAGAGACTGGCCGCCAGTGTTGTCTGATCCATGATTGCTATCAGGTCGACTGTTGAGCATGCGAGGAATATCTGGAGATGTCGGTTGATCAATTGAGGTTCTGAATAAGGGCGGTGCTTCATACTGTGATGATGGTCTTCCGGGGGACATAGTTCGTTTGCTCATTGAAGGAGATTGGAGCTGATGCATCGGCTTCCACATCTTCAGGCGCTATGACTGCTCTTTCTGTGTTGGGGCTCGCCCCCTTCGAGTCGGAGTACAATGCTGTATTGGCCATTGTGTAGGCGCCAGGGATCAAAGTAGACAATGGCAAACTGCTCAATGCTGAGCCCAGAAAGTTTACAAGAATTGAATCATTGAGGAAGTTTCAACGGGGAGAAGAATATCGAGCATCAACTTGGCCAAGCCTAATGATCAGGTCGAGTTGCATTGAACATGCGAGCCACGCCTGCAAGCAAGGGCCAGTCGTCCGGTTAGGGCTAGTAGGGATCGCCCAGAAATCTTCTCAAATGCCCTCACCAAGGTCCTCATCTGCGATCTGCAGATGCAATCTGCATGCTGTGCCGTTTCTTCTCGTGTCCGTATTAAGCGCACGCGTCTGAAATACTCGTTGCATTATGCATGCTGCTCGACAGGCTCGATACGGGTAAGACACTTCCCGGGCTCCGCTCGAGTTTCGCCAATATAGCAGATATCAATATGTCTATCAGTAGCCGGATTCAGCCAGTAGCTGTGGTCTGATCACACTATAATGTGCGCGATCGACCAGAACGACCCAAAGCAGACATCGAACGTATACAGCAAGCCGTCCAGTGGGTCATCAATCTGCCACACGCCGAAAGCGACGGTTGTGTCTAGATTTGGGCACTCAAAGCAAGGAGGGGCAGCAATATGCACAGCACGAGCATAAAGCATGCAGCTGTCCCTCTGAGAAACAAACCGAATCATACTGCTTCCGTGCTATCATCCTGCACCATGGCCACTACCAACGAGCACAACGTCTACTTCGGGCCGGATGCCCTCAAGAAGTACTTCAATCCTGACTGCCAACCTCCATTGCCGCTCGTAGAGCTGCCACAGCATCTGAACCCATTCCATCATGATGGGGTGCGCATCTATGCGAAGATGATGACGATGCACCCTGCAAACAATGTCAAGGCCTTACCAGGTACATGCGCCCTTGCAGCGATGCATGTTGTTAGTCACTGACTTCTGCAGCTATGAACATGCTTGAATCAGGCGTGGTACCTGGACAGACCCAGACGATAGTGGAGTATAGTTCCGGCTCGACAGTTATTTCCATGTCGATGATTGCACGTGTGATGCATGGTATAGACGACACCCGAGCATATCTCAGCAACAAGACCAGCGATGCCAAACTCAAGCTGATGCAATTCTTCGGGCTCAACATCACCTTGTTTGGCGGCCCATCGCAGCCGGATCCTTACGACGAACGGGGCGGCATTCAAACCGCGCGTGAAATGTCCATGCAGTCAGATCACACCCTCAATCCCAACCAGTACGAGAACCACGACAATTGGGGAGCGCACGTCCGCTGGACCGGACCGCAGATCTTCAAGCAACTCCCCGAGATCAACGTTCTGTGCGCTGGCATGGGCACCTCCGGAACCATGACGGGACTGGGGACATATTTCAAGCAGGCAAAGCCGTCCGTATTGCGGCTGGGGGTGTGTACCGCACCAGGGGACCGAGTTCCCGGGCCACGATCGTTCGCTCTCATGAAGCCTGTGGAGTTTCCCTGGAAAGCCGCCGTCGACATGATTGAGGAGGTCACGTCAGCAGACTCATTCTCTCTGTCGCTAGATCTGTGCCGCGAAGGAATTGTTTGTGGCCCATCATCTGGATTCAACCTGCAGGGCCTCTTTCAGATGCTCGAGAAGCGCAAACGCGGGGGCACCTTGACGCAGCTGGCGGGACCGGATGGTTCCGTTCATTGCGTCTTCTTATGCTGCGACTTGCCGTATCAGTACGTTGGGGAGTATTTTGAGAGGGTGGAACCTGAGAGGTTCCATCCTATTCAGAACGAGGTGAGTGGATGAATCATCCTCAGAGAATAAGGTTATAATGCTAACCTGTGGTCCACAGAATCTCACGCGGGTGGATCTTCATCGGTACGACGAGAGCTGGGAACGAAGTCCTGTCGTGTTGTTCACGCACTTCTACGAGGCTCCCAAGTCTTTCAACCAGGGTCTCCTGAGCAACATCACCCTCCGACCGGCGTGCTGTATCCTGGACTTGAGAACCGCCGTCGATTTCGATTCATGGCACCTCCCTGGCTCGATCAATGTTCCCTTACAAAGTCTCGGACTTCACACAGCCAAGCCGTTCGCCAATCCAGATGTGCTAGAGGCACTCTGGCGGGAGGTGGAGACGTTGTTCAATGACGACAGCAAGCTCGCGCAGCTGGTTTCGCACCATGTGCTGGTAATCTGTTACAATGGCGACACGGCACGTATTGCCACTAGTGTGCTGCGGGCCAAGGGGGTCCAAGCGGATAGTCTCCGAGGCGGATATCAGGCACTGAAAGACCACGGACTTTGGGAGCAGGAGCAGGTGGATGGCAGCGTGGTTGATGGATATCCGAGTGTGTCTGTAAACAACTTGTCGCTCGCCAAAGCGTAGTTTGGATGAAGCTAGTCCTTATCGGGAAAGCATACTTGAGCACTTGGCACTAGGCCGGATTAGGATGAACATGCCGACTGCTCCTCATACACAACAACTGGAACTACATCCTCTCTTCTTATCCTCATTTCATTTTATCATCAGCTCACAGACGTCAATATCGTACAATGGACCACACGCTAGCACCTTCTCCTCTGACCATGATGTACAGCCATCCAATGCTAAGCGCGAGTAATCTGCTCAAGTGCAGTCCCGCTGAACGATGCCACTAAACTATCCGCGCAAATCTGCTCACCAGGCGCACATCAGACAACACAATCTGGCAAATGTCGATGTATGCAGACTTATTATAATCGTCCTTACGTGATACGCTCTGTTTCGTACTGTCCCACCGTCGAAAACGAAACCAGCCGCCCTGCGACAGCCCGACGGGGAATTGCCCGGATGGCTGCATGCGTCCGCATTCCACGCTAACCGGCGAAATGTGCTCAATTCTGAGCATGAACCGGCCAATGAGCGACCCAGTATGGAATCCATAGAGGAGGTCGTGTCTGGAGTCGGAATGCGATGTCTCTGCCAAAGGTGCTGTCTTCAAGGGTCCAGTTGCACAACGGTCTGGGATGATTTCGCTGGGGTGGTGTTTCCCTCTGCTCTTCAGCTTTCTCTATTGACAGTGATGAAGCACGGGTTTCCGTTGAAAATACCTTCTTTCCCTCTTGAACGGGATATTCCTGCTCTATAGTACTGACAGGCTTGTTTATTACTTGGCTCTGTGCAAAATGGGTTTACCATGGCTGGACCAGCCGGTGATGTTGCACTCTTCCAGAGCAGATAGCTGCAAGTTGACTGCAGAGCAATGCGCCTACCGCAATGGACATTGGAGATACTGGTTTGTCTTCGCCCCTGTTGTCGCTTCGTATATTCATATCTCCTGGACAGGTATCAAGCCGATCACGTCTATGCGCTGAACACGATCTACTTCCTTTGTGCAACGGTTGGGGTTTTCGTGATTCTTCAGATGATGACCAAGTTTAGCCCCCTGTTTTTGCGAAGGACGGCCATCTGGAGGAGAGCAACGGCAACAGGGCGATATCTTGCCTACAAAAGTTTTCCATCACCAGTTATCAACTTTCCGGCCACCGGCGTCTTCATTTTGATTGTTATCGGGGGTGTCTTCTTCCTTGGTTGGTACAGACGCGAGTACGCCGAAACGAACTCTTCTGATAATCTATAGCAATGACCCTCGGTCCACAACCGTATTACTGGCCAAATACTGAGACGGTTTCTTATGGAGGCAGTCCTCCAATCGCGACCCGAGCAGGATGGATGGCACTGGGCCTGCTGCCTTTCGTCTTGTCAGTATGCCAAATTCAGTGATCGAGCCTTACTGACCGACAACAGGGCCCTCGGAGCCAAAGCCAATCTTATTTCAGCGTTGACTGGGGTAACCCATGAAAAACTTCAGGTTCGTTTCACCGGCGATCATGAATGTGCTACAGCTGATCTATCAGATCTTCCACCACTGGACTAGTTACGCCATGTTCGTCCTTGCTTTAGTACATACGTTTCCGTTTATTGTCGTTCATATTCAAAAAGGCGACATGGTGAAGCAGTGGAAGACGGAGATAACATACTGGACGGGGGTGGCTGCTTTGATACCACAGGCATATTTGACATTTATGTCTCTGCCAGCGATTCGGTGAGCCATGAAGCCTCTACTGATTGAATATAGATTAACTCTATAGGAACCGATTCTACGAATTTTTTAAGGCCACGCATCTTCTGGCCGCATTCCTATTTATCCTCTTCTTTTTCTTTCACTGTGACTTTCGTCTCTCCTCATGGTGTGTTGCCTACGGCTTGTGCGTATGCAACTTGATGTTCTAATGTTTCAAAGGGACTATTTCATCGCATCTGTCGCGATCTATCTCTTGAGTCTTCTCATATCCTTCGCCAAAACCCACCTCATCCATGGCCGTCACCGCGCGACATTCGAGCTTCTCCCCTGCGGCTTCCTCCGTATCACTGTCCCAACTGTTACCGTTGTGTGGCGACCCGCGCAACACGTCTTCATCCGTTTCCTCAGTCCTCGACTGGGTCTACACAGTCTTACTGCACATCCTTTTACCATAAGCTCTACGTATCCGACGAAGTTCAACTCAGCGACCAAGCCCAATTCCATGTCTGCTATATCTTTGGACTCGATCACATCCTCAAGCTCGAAGCAGGTACCGAGTAGGAGCATCTGCCCAAGCTTGACATTCTACATCCAGCCCCGCAGCGGCATCACAGCCCGCCTTGCACAGCTTGCTAGCCGCCACCCGGGATTTTCTATTCCTGTCCTTCTAGAAGGGCCGTATAGCGGAATATCCAGAGATCTCGACATCTCACGATTCAGCCATATCATTTTAGTGACCGGAGGTTCTGGAGGTGGTTTCTCCTTCGGAATTCTGGAAGAGGTCCTGCAGGGGGTGAAAACCGACGCAAATGTCGATACAGCGGGGGAGAACTCTACAGCTTTCCCCAGAATCAGCATCATCTTCGCAACTAGATCTCCAGCAGTAGCAGACTGGTACACCAGCGAGCTCAATCGGATTCTGCTGGATCATTATAACGGTTCCCGCAAGATAGACGTGCACATCAGCATCCATATCACCTCTCACTCCTCTCCCCCTTCTAACTCACCACCCTCTCAGGCTGCACGGGACGAAGAAGAGAAATGCATCAAAACACCCGAAGTAACGAACAAGACCACTATCACCCCCTCCGAGAAAATCAAAGAAGGGACCCAGCCATCGGGCTCAATCACTACCCTTCCGATCACATATCATCAAGCGCGTCGACCAGACCTATCCCAACTCCTCACCGCCGCAGTTCCTGTCACCAGGAGAGGAGGTGCAGAGCAGAAGATCGGCATCTTCACGTGTGGGCCTGGGTCCATGATCAATGACGTTCGTAATGCGGCGGCCGACGCGCAGTTGCGCATTGGTAGTGGTAAGATGGCTGGAGTGGCGGAGGTGTATTTGCATACGGAGATGTTTTCGTGAGTTTCCATCCTCCTGTTTGTGCCAGATGTGGTTGCTGACTGAAATGTTGCCATGAAGATGGTGATAGATAATGATAGTACATATGGCGGTGCTGAGTACATAATGCAGACACGTGTGCGTACTAGTAGACCAGTATGTTGTTTGGGGTAAGAAGATGGGCATAAATAGTGATAAAGTATAGTACATACAGAAACTGGATCACTATACTCTACTAAGCTGGGCTATTCAGTCAAGAGAAATAGATTTATTATCTAATCTAATTAGATACTTTCAAGATAGACTAGACAATCCACATCAGTGCAGACAAAATGTTGCCAGGCGGCGCTAGCGGATGGAGAAATAAAAATATGCAGCTCTTTCTTCTTGTACCAGACATGGCCTTGATTCTTTTGTCCCCCCACAAATAGCAAATGCTTTGACACTCCCTCATATACTATGGATCACCGAATCTTCGTTGAACCGAGCCAAGACCCATGCAATAGACAGCCATGGCCCGGCGTGATGGCCTTCCGAGGACGCCCGTCCTCAATCTTATTAGATTCAAGTTCCGCCCGGAGGCGGATTTCATAGATGAACAGCATGTCGCACATACACTATGGCAGCAGTCGCTGGTCTTCATATCCACAGTCTCTGGCTTCCAGCGTCTTCTCTGGGCCCCGATCTCGGATGAATCTCGGAGGGTGGTACTTCTGATTCAATGGCGCGATGGAATCGCGTGGCAGGAATTCCAGTTGTCTTTCGGGCTTGGCCTTCTCCTTCCTCTACTGCAAGAAGTGCCTCCCTTGAATCATAGCATTACACTCACTCTCCCTCCGTGCTTTGCTTCGGGGCCTGGCCACTTTCTCGAGCTGGTGGAACTGTCAGTCAAGCTGGCCGAGAATGAGTATGACCCGGCAGAGCGGAGCCGATGAATTGAGGAAGAATGGCAAGCCGGGGTTGAGTCACTGGGAACGGCACCTTCAGACTCTGGCTTCCCTGGGCTTCTTTGTGGCAGTGGGGGATGGTTCGAGGAACAGTTGCCGCTCGAGTCCCGCACCTTTTTGGGCCTTTTTCTCTGGCGAACTCCACGAGATGCAATCACCTGGGCTCCCCATCAGACTTACGCCATAACCTACAAGCCTTGATCGGGCACACCATACGACAGTCCTCACTTGTTACCGCTTCTATGCATGATTGCAGCTCCTCGGGTATGTCTATGTCTCTCGCAGCCCGTTCATCGGCATCTCGCGCCTCTTACTCTGGTACGATCTTGATTGAAGTTGTGTCTCAAGCCAACGGCACAATCACGCGTAGCAGCCCGAGTATAACCCGTTACTGCGCCTCAATCCCCACAGATCAACCCTGCCATCTCGAGCTACTCTCTCTCTCTCTCTCTCTCCCTCTCTTCCTTGTCGAACGCTGAATGTCACAAGCGCATCCTGTGGTATGCGTATCAGCCGTTCACTAGCACAATGTCCTGCCCCACTGCCCGGGGCCAAGTCTACATCCATCCGTCGCCTATTCTAGCCGCACTTGGAGCCAAGGTAGCAAATTTAATCAAACCAGTTTTGAAAAATGAGTGAAGAGTGTCACCAATTTCGGGACGTACTGTACTACTATCCCTCGAAAAAAAAGTAGATTGCTCTAGCCTCTGATGCAATGTCAGAAGCAGCGGAATGCTGTGTATTGTGATCATAGTGGCGAATATAGTTGCTGAATCCAGACCTGCAATTGGCAGACCACATACATTTAACATATTTCAAAGGTATTATTTCCAGGGAACAAGAAATCTTGATATCACACACTTCATGATATTGATGACGGTGTCATCCAACTGCTTGATATATGAATGGCTCCGCCCCCGCCCCCGCCTCCCCCTCATCCCTCTGTACAGCACAGTTTATATGTGCCAAGTCCTTATTATACCAAGAAAAATCCCTTTCATCCCAATCATATCATGAAGCAACTAGGAGAACTATTGGCTTGGTTCTTAGCTATGACGGGGACGACAGTCACCGCGGCCGCTATACCCGCGCAGAAGCTTACCATTACACGCACAAACCGAGACTGCGGCGGCGCTCTCATTTCTCCTATGACAGATCCTTTCGGATTTGTGAACCTTGTTAAGCCAGCTTCAGGCAAACTCGTGGCATCCATTGTACTACAGGGTGCAACGCCTACCGCTACCTATAAAGTCCGGATGCTTCAGGTTCCGAGAACTTCACCTTGTTATGATAATGTTGCCAGCACCACATTGATAACAGACAGCTCAGGCTATGGCAACATAAATTTCCAACAACCGCTGAGCCCGACCGCAACAGCTGCATTTCTTGATCTGAACAACCTTGCTGATCCCAACGGTGACTACTTCACAACTAACCCGAACGATTTTAAAATTCCTCCAGCATAGGTATCGGATCGACAAGATGTAGGGAAACCAATTTGCTCGTCTTTTATCTTACAATTCGCGCCATATGGTCAATCAAAATTGTAACTAAGCAAGTGGACTTGTCCAATAGTTCAGTCATCTGTTGATCCTCCCATTAGTGGGCCCAGATATTTCATAACAACTATTCCGTGCAACCAGTGAAGGACATTACTTGTGACTAAAAATTGCTTTTGACCGGTATACGCTGAGACTCTCAGCCCCGTTATAAGACCTTAGCGCAGGTCATTCAATGAGCTGGCCACACTAACATGAGGACCTGACGCAATTATAGTTCGGAAAGTAGTTTTTAAGCAGACGAAGCTGGTTCTGCTTAAAGTGCATAAGAAACCAGAGAGCACCAGCATAAATCTAGTATTATCTAGTGCGCGGATGTGACACTATAAGAGAGCGAGAGAGGTAGAAACTGCAATACAGTCGTTGTCGTCGTTGTTTTACATACGCTGGCGCCTCGCCTTAGGCGACATGCAAGGGTCTACCGTACTATCTCTACACCCCATGTACATATACATCTTTTTAAAATGTGTTAAGATGTGAATCATTACTTTCCCGAGAATCTGGGGCCTAGTCAAAGCCTGTGCGGGCCGGATGGGGCGTCTTGTTGAAATTGTTGCAAGAACCTTGAACAGTTTTAAACAATTCCAAGCATTTCCGCTCAAGTAATCTAAGTTTTGAATATTTCAAGCAGAAAGTGGTGTTGCATTTGGAGCTATCACGAAGGACAACATAAGGGTCTTTTTGTAAGATTGCCGAAAATATGTAGTATGTCGTACAAAAATAACCAGTCTCGAGGACAGTTGATAAAACTGCCAAGCTTCTGAATCGGTCATCGGATAGCGCAGGTGATGCGAATAACACGAACAGCAACCAAATTTAGCAATATAGAGGAACGATTATTTGCCACAAGCAGCAGCCCGACAAAGCGTTGTTTTAGTTTCGGGGCTAGAATATTGGATAAATCTGTGGAAACAAGGTGTCAGTGGCTCTCGTATACTGTAGGTCTATAAAAGAACTTCTTGGATTTCAATGAAGGTGATTTACACATAGTGTAATGCATAACTGGTTACTGTAATAATGAAACCGAGTCTGTTCTGATCAAGGCATTTCCGAAAGCAGATATAGAATTTTCCTGCACTAACCTACGGTAATGGGTTATGAAAGAAAATTCTTACACTGCTGTAACAAGCACAAAGTCTAACGGCCTAGAAGATATATTAATAGAAAAGTATGTATCTAAAATTTAATACAGTAGTATAGAACCTTGTAATTCCTTTTATTATCAATTTGTGGATTACCACGGATTCTAGAGATAATATAGCTATTTATTAAAACAGGTATAAAAATAATATAAAAAGACAAAGGGACCCTCCTGTCTAATACAGCTTAAGCTATAGGCAAACTATAAGTAGATTGTTAAGGGAAATGGGTCAGTTAGGTATAGAATAGTAGCAGTCTATTGATTTTCAAGACTAATCCTTGCTATCCTAAAGGTATAGCAAGGTTCTAGGAGTTAAATACTAGAGGAGTTCAAGTCGTTGACGTCATGACCATTCAGCTAGGAATACGCAGGCAAGCCGTTGGTGGTTCACCGTGCTCCCGGGGATTACCCATGACATAGATATACTAGATAAGTATCTAGTCTTTAAGATTACCGCTATAAGTACTATAATGCTGGATTTATATAGGCATAGGTTTATATAAAAAAAATAAAGTAGGTAGACTAGATTTAAACTATTTTTTTAATTCTGTTAAGCTTTTATAAATAAAAAGACAAGAGTATAGCTTGGTAAATAATACTAAAAGTAATTAGTAAATCATAATCTACTAAAATACTAAAGATTAGCAGAGGCCTAGATAACTGTAATTAAACATTCTATTACCTTCACTACTAGACAAGGTTTGTAGTATACAGAAATGAATAACTATTCCTTCTTCAGCATAGCACAGCATAGCGCTCACCTCACCACATATCTACGTGAACCTTCAGGATAACCACTAGTTTTATTAACAACTCTCACTCTTCCCGGCTCCTCTTAGCCCCTCGGCAGCCTCTTTCCCCGCCAACAGACCCCAACAAACCGCGCGTTATTCAACATGGAAGACCCATTCAGCCAATACATCAAAATACCAGAACCACATCGACGGTATCGAGCCCCCCCTCCCCCCTAACAGCAAGCCCCAAACACTAACAGCCTCAGCAGCCCCAACGCCCCGATCATCACCATCTCGCTCCGCGCCGCAGACCCCCGATACGTGCTTAACCCCACTAGTCTAGGCGTCCGCATACACACTCACCGGGCCTCAGATCAAAAGAGCAGCAAGGAGCAAGACCAACCCTGTATCCTAGATTGGACCGGCGTGGAGGCCGGGTTGCTCTTGTTCCGGCACCTGCCAACGGGGAAATATGAGCCGGTGACGTTCGAGCACATCGACTCAAGCACAAAGCCTCAACCCCCGCATCATCTCTTGGGATTCTCACAGCTCAACATCCCGGATCGATGGGTGCTTGCGCCTGGGAACACCACCGCCCCGGTGCATCCGCGCATAGAACGGCACGCGTACCATGGACTACAACCGGGCGAGCGGTACGAGATTCTATGGCCCGGCGCTGAAATCCCTCGCTGGGCTTTGAGGGATGTGAGAGAAGCAACAGCCCCGGAGCCCAAGGCAGTCCCCCTCGTGGTTCCCGGCGGGGCTCGATGCTCGTTCATGTTGGAGGGGGAGAGGGAGCCGGCACCGATGCCGCGGGCATGGAGCCCGCCACCACTGGAGCAGACGGATCGAGTGTAAGTCTTCGAGGTCTCTGTTACTTTTCCTCTCAGGAAAGTACACACAAAAAACATCGACAGCCCTCAACGATTAGCCAACCCCCGTTGCCAGTCCTGGAGCCCCAGTTCTCACCGTTGAGCTGAAAGCTACGACCTCGCACTGGAACCCAAGGAAGTATTTCCCCATAACGTGGACGATCACGTATCACGGCACCGCCGGGAGAGAAGATGATCCCCCCGACAACCCCCGGCCCATCACCTTCCGCGCCTACAATTTCCGTACTTACGGAACCTTTCGCGCGTATCGCCAGCGCTACGAGGATGGAGAATGGGAGTCCTACGACGAAGACGGAGGTTACACGTTTCCCAGTGGACCCGACGATCCCCATCAAGTCAACGTGGGCAAGGAGAGAGAAAAGGCCGGCTTCATCAGCCTGCGGCCGGGGCAGACGTACTCGAGGTCGGTGCATCTCTACTCGCAAGACGATCTGCCGCGCCATCCGGCGACTGGAGAGATCCTGCGCTATCGGTTCAAGGGCTGTGTTCTGGACTGGTGGGACTGGGGGACGCTGGATAATCATGTTGATACGGTGGTGACCGTGCCTGGGTTCCTGGGCGGGGAGGTTCTTGAGCCGAGTGATAATGGGGGCCGGGCGAGGGCGGTTGTGCCTGCTTCGAACCTGGTCGAGCTTACTGTTGTTTGAGGCGGGGTTTGCATAGTCACGGTGTGAAAGGCAGTTCTGATGGTCCGTTTACGGCAGAAAATGCTGCGGTAGAGGCAGAGAATGCTGAGGTTAGTGAAGCTAAATGCGAAGACAGTCGCTATGTTAGCGGAATACTGGATCTAGGGCACATTTAGTAACCGGATCTTTGATGACCGGCGTGGATCAGCAGGTGGGGGAAGATGGGCCCCTAAGTATCCTGTTGTTGCGCCCCAGAGCAGAAGTGCCGCAAGCGAATATTCCAAAAGCTGCACTGTATACATTAGAGTGTTTACTCGGTTTCCAAGTCCCAGACACGCAACACTCACCAGGGCGGGCCAAGTCAACCAATCGTCAATCGATAGCACGGATTTCGACCTCTTTCTTGCATAGAAGCGAAGTACCACTGTCAGAGTGCCCAACACGGGGAAGAGAATTGAGATGGCGATGATCGCGGCGGGTGCTGCGTATCTTCGAGACCTGATGATAATGGCGACCTTCGAATGCCATCAGTGGTATAGGAATCATTCTTGGATGACGGTTGGAACAAGGCTATCTTGAAAAAAAGACATTGGCTCGGATCCAGACGACTCGTGCTGGCGCTACTGGAAATCGACAGAGGTAAGGATAAATCTGGGATAATCCTGGGATGATCCTGGCCGGTTTGATACCAAAGGAGGCTATGTTTGTTTGTCTCCAGCCTAGTCAAGCACCAACGGTTGCCTTTTCTTTTGCTTGATAAGCCTCACCGCTGCAACATAATGCCAAAAGTACTCCTCCTCCTTTTTCTCTAATTCTTCACCTTCTCCTCCTCCCCTTCACTGAGTGCTCAACCTGCTAAAGGTCATGGCGTTGCTCTAGATGCTTGAAACCACCGCCATTGTGCTGTTGCTATGAACCGCAATTGAAGCTATCCGTCGCCTCTACTTCCATCCCATCGCCCACATTCCAGGTCCCCGCCTCGCCGCTCTGACATGGTGGTACGAGTTCTATTTCGACGCCATCCAGCCCGGGCAGTACGTCTTCAAGATACAAAAGCTGCACAGGCAATATGGTATGTCACTTTCGGCCTCCTACTCAAGCCAAGTACCGACGCCTTTCAGGCCCCATCATCCGAGTCACTCCCGACGAGATCCACATCAACGACGTCGGCTTCCTGGACACCGTCTACGCTCCAGCAACGGCTCGACGGGACAAATACGACTATCAGCTGCGGAGCCTGCGCATTCCCGGGGGAGTGGGCACCACCGCCGACTATCACCTGCACAAATTGCGACGGGAATCCCTTACCCATTTCTTCAGCAAGAAGAACATTCTGTATCTGGAAGGGTTGATCACAGATAAGGTGGAGCAATTGAAGCAATTGACCGCGACTCATGCCCATAACATAACCACCAAGACCAACAAAACCCAACAGCGAGTCCGCAACGAACTACTCACCCTCACGCACACCAAAGCATCAGCCCACACCGCCGCTAAACCCGCGGGCCCAACAGGAAAAGAATCCGTCTTCGACTCCGTCCGCGACAACGCCAACCTGCCGGACACAGAAGGCACCCTGCTCGCGCTAGCGGGGGCCGAGTCGCCCGCGTAGACCCCCACCGTCGCCTTCTACCACCTCCTCGCCAACCCGACGCATCGCGGGTGCTTCTCCTGAGAATAGCCTCCCCAACAGAGCAGCCAAGAGGTATTCCGTAGATCAGTCCAATGCTAGGCTAGATAGATGGTACCCAGTCCAGTCCAGTCCAAACCACCGGGCTCATCCCTAAGGTAGTTAGGGCTTGACGCGAAGTAGGCGGGCGTGGCCCACCCCTGAAATCACCCGGCAAGTCTGCAGCCAGCGCGATTCCAGAGCAACCCGGAGCAGCAGCCAGCCAGCCAGCAGCCAGTGCAATGCATACCTGTACCTGAGGTACAGGACTTAGTAACTCAAGTAAGGAAGTTTCTTGCGGCGGAAGCAGCTCATACAGGACCGACCATCTTGGGACAGGACCGTACATCCAGTACAGTACATACATATACCAGCCGAGATAGTCAGTACATTCCACACCCCACCCCTCCTTGTCTTCGGTCGTGAATCACAAGGCAAGGTAGGAATAATACGATGATGATAGCAGCGATTGCTATGCATACCAACCTGAGTCTCTGCTACTGCTATAACTACAGGACTGGTTCCAGCCAAGTAACAAAGTAGTAAAATAATGAAGTCGCTCCAGCACTGTGAACCTGACACATAACCAAGCATCCTTCCTCCCGGATAAACCTACTACGTAGCACCAGCCCGGTTTTTACTCATGTCTCCAATCTCGTCAACCAAATCTATTTCTATCATGAACTCAAGGCGAAGAGGAATCTATATACACCAGCCACAACAACTTGCAGTCCGATTTGTATCCGAAAGGAGATCTGCGTTGCGTTCCCGCCTCCGAAACTCATTAAGACCGACCGAAAACGAAAAACAAGACCAACCACGGTATTACTCTAGGTAGTCTATTCTCTACCGGATAGCATAGCATACCATGTAGACAAACCGGGCCAAGAATTCAGAAGGAGGAGTTGTGCAGAGATTGCCGGGGAAAGAAAACGCCGAACACCCTGGGTCAGTATCGGAACCCCAAACTGGAAGCTGAACGAGTCGTTCATTCAATGATGAGTGTATGAGATATGTGAGATAGAGTGGGAGTGGAGTGGGTATGTCAGTATGTATGTCAGTATGTGCTTGTATGTGTGTATGTGTAGTGTAGTCTAGCGTTGATCGGTGTAGTAGTAGTGTAGGTAAGTGGTGTGTGTTAAGTCGCGGCCTCAACCTCCGCAAGTCTATCGCAGAGCCAAATCATGTCCACGTCCATATCCTGTTGCAAGGACCAGTCCCTTCCCCCTCCCCAGAATCAAAAATCTCATCGTATGCATGACGGGGTAGCAATCGCGAAAAGTTCTAGTTGAAGCCAGGCCTCAACCAGGCAAACGGACAGCCCCTTCCCAGTTCTCGGTACCCTTCCTCTGCCAGGAGCAACTCCTCAAAACCACACCCATGGGCCATCTAAGACCTCCCCTCCAACCCCCCCATCAACCAAGCCCTCATCCGCACATTCACGACCCCACCCACCCCATACGCGGGCACGATCTTGCCCATCCTTGCAAAACAGCTGGGCACATAATCTCTGCGGATCCGCGCCACGCGCTCCCGCCACCCCAGCCCGCCGGGGGGCTGCCTATTATACAGATCCAGTCCCAGCAGATGCATGGGGGTACTGGCGAACTGCATGAGCGCGGGGCAACTGAATTGCGCCAGCGCCGCCTTCATGCCGGGGGTGGCGGCGACGCGGTCGGGGATGTGCGGCGCCAGCAGGGCGGGGATGTTGAAGGAGGCGAAGATGGTGATGCTGTCGCGGAGGCAGAAGAGGGCGTACGAGATGCGCGGGACGGTGGGGGCGCCGGGTCCGGTGGCCGGGTGGCACGCGGCCGAGACGGTGTGTTGGGGTCGGGGGATTGCGATTGTGGGGGAGAGGTTGGCGTTGGGTTTCGTTGGTGGTGGTGGTGGTGGTGGTGATGTTGTTGTGGTTGTGGTTGCGCTGGGGGTGTTGGTGCTGGTGCCTGGGGCGGGCGATGCGCCAAATATCCTCGCGAATCGTGCATCCTTGTAGACGCAGATGCCCATGTTGACGACCGTCGTCGACAGGAATTTGGCCGTGCCGGGGAACACCGTCGAGAAGGGCTTGTCGCGCATCGTCGACAGCACCGTGTCGATCGTGTTGGCCGTCAGGTAGGTCGAGGTGTACAGCGTGTAGATCAGCAGGAACGGGGTGCTGAGGAAGAAGGCCCCCGGGTTGGCGGCCATGGAGCGGAAACAGGAGGTGATCGTTTGTTGGATCGGGAGGCCCTTGGCCGCTTTCTCGATGATCGCGCTGTATCGTGTCGTAGACAGGTTAGTGGAATCATGTTTGGTTGGACTGAGTAGTGCCTTGTGGTGTAGCCGTGCTGCGATGTTCGATGTTGAACAGAACGTACCGATCAATGACGGTGATGACCGGGCAGGTTAAGGCACCCGCCGTGGCCGCGCTGGCGATATCCACCCCCAGTCGCGTCCCCAGACGGTCGGTGTTCCACCTCGTCGTGGAGACGGACGATCGCTCCGTGATGGCCGACATACTCGTAGCAAGAGGTGAGGGCGCTTCGGGAGCAAGTGCACTCCGCGTCATTTTCTAACATGTAAAGTCCAACCCAAAATAAAAAAAAAAAAAGAAGAGGGAGAGAGGGCTGATTGCTAATATAACGTCATCCGGACGGTGGCTGGAGAAGACAATTGCCGCAGATCCCAAAAAAATGAAGACCGATGCAGAAAATAAAGCCTCACTCAAAATACAGACAGACTACTGAAACATTGTGTTGGTCACCAGCGCGCCCAAAAGTCACTTGTCACTGCTGCAAAAGCAAACGAACGTCCGTCAGTCAGCCGTTAGAGAAAAAGAAGTCGGGGGTGAGTGAATTGACAGACAGACAATGCACCCACGGACGAGAATCACCCGGCCGGCATAAATTGGATGCGCCTCGGGAAATGCCCTCCGATGCCGGCCGACGCAATCGTTGTGCTCGTATTAATCAACCAAGCAATGGGTATTCGAAATCCCGACATACACAGGACATTTTTCAGTCAACCCTTGCGCGGTCGGTCCACTTCCCGGGAAAATATCAAATGCTCAATGCTGGATCTATCATTTCTTTTTTCTTCTTCTGGGTCTTCATACAGACAAGTCAATTAACATGCTCCAAACGCCCAACACAAAATAAATAAAATAAAATAAAAGAAAATTGTTGTCTCCCAAATCATAAAACCCCTCGCTCCCTGAGCTTTCCGTCCTTCATGGCCCAACGCACCGTATCCCAGTGTCATTATGCATATGTAGCTCATTCCGACGTGTTCGCCTGGATCCCTTCCAAGGTGACGTTGACGGCGCCAGCTTGCACCAGCTACAACATGTTCGTTAGCAAAAGCATACACACTACCATAAATCGGAGGCCAGAACTTACCGCGCGCTGCAGGTCATCGATCAGATCGTCGACGTCCTCGATACCCACACACAACCGGATGAGATCCTCCGGCATCGCTCGTTCCTTGCGCGTCTTGGCGTCGATGCTGGCATGGCTCATGCGGCAGGGCATACTGATCAGGCTGTTCACGCAGCCGAAACTCACGCTGATCGCCCACAGCTTGGCGCTTTCCACAATCCGCTCGCTGACACCCACATCGCCCGTCTCAAACGAGAGAACCGCGCCCGAGCCGCGGGCCATCGAGTGGTGGAGGTCATACTGAGGGTGCGACCGCAGCCCCGGGTAGCGCACCTTGAAGCCGTGGGTCTCGAGGTACTCCGCAATCCGCTGCGCATTCGCCTGCTGCTGGTCCATGCGCACCTTTAGGGTCTTGACACCGCGCAGAAGCAGCCACGAGTCGAAGGGTGACAGACCGCAGCCGGACGCGTTGATGGGGAAGTAGAGACGCTCGCCCAGCGCCAGATCGTTCACGGCGATCACACCGGCCATGAGATCGTGGTGGCCCGACAGGTACTTCGTACCACTCTCGTAAACGATGTCCGCTCCCAGATCAAGAGGGTTGAGGAGAAGGGGCGACATCATGGTGTTGTCGACCGAGACGAGGCAGTTGGGGTTCGCCTCGTGGGCAGCCGCGGCGATCTGGGGGATGTCGACGATCTTGATCAAGGGATTGGTCGGCGTCTCGAGCAAGACCATGGCCGTCTTCGAGGTCAAGACTTCGCGCACCTTCTCGGGGTCGGTGGTATCCACATGATGCACAATGATACCGCCGTTGGTAGAAAGATACTTCAGAAGGCGATTGGTTCCTCCGTAAAGATCATCACCGGTCACAACTTCATCGCCAGGACGAAGCAAGCGGGTGATCACATCCAGAGCGGCCATACCCGACGACACAACCAAGGCGCGCTGAGCCGACATGATCTTAGCCAAGTGCCGCTCGAGGTGAGTCCGGGTCGGATTTCCGGAGCGAGTGTAATCATATTCGCCGCCGCCTGCACCGGAGGTTTGTTTAAAAGTGGCACTCTATCCGACGAGAATTAGCTTTCTTTCATACTTCAATTGCCTACCCTCGACGTCACCCCGGGGTGGTATTGCAAAACTGGACTGGCTGGTCCGTACCTGATAGATCGGGACGCTGCTGGCATTGTACTGATCATTGCTGTCCGTGTAGACCAGCTCGGTGGCGATGTTGTAGCGTCTGACACCATGAGGGCTGGATGGAGCAGGGGAAGGAGGCAAATTGTGTCCCTCGAGATCAACGCGAGGGAACGCCTTCTTAGAAGCGCTGGAATCAGCACCGGATCCTGAGGCCGACATCGCTGCGGGGACGGAAGGATTCGCGGGAGCAGAACCGACAAGGGGGAGGGGGGAAAATTGAGAAATAGGACAAGAAATACGCAGCACCCAGGTGATGAACAAATCAGCAAATCAAGATTGATAGCAATGGGCAAGAACAATCAAAGCTTGCCAAAATATAAAGATGAGTGTTTTGAAAGTCGAGAAGATGAAGGAGAGGAAGAATGGACGGAACAAATTATGGGCTTCCCCAGAAGAGTCACAGACTCACAGCCACTAGAATAGACGGGAGTCGGTATGGAGAGACCCAGATGGAGTCCAGCTGTCATTGGCTGAGCCGCCAGCATCGCGATGTCGTCATTCACTAGGCCCATTCTAGTAAAGTTCCATCACATGAACGATGAAGCAGAATGACTCAGCATACTACAGTATGAACAAGGGAACACTCTTCCCACGGTCTCAATGCCTTCGTTGTGTGTGAGGTAGGTGTGTATATATACAGGAGTATCATCATGTGCCAGACCCCCTCCCCTCGTACTCCTTCATTTCCCGCTTGTAAAATCGTTGATCCCTCACCGAAACAGACTCCAACATGACGTCCACCATGCCCATGCAGAAAACGGATGTAATTCCAGCAAAGCTAAAGACGTAAGGACAATCATCACCCTCAATTAACTTCCTGTCCCTCAAGACACAAGCATATCCGAGTGCACGGGGTAAGCTATACATTATGATCCTTCTCAGGTCGCCATCTCACCAAAACTGCCATTGATGCCGAAGAATTGGAACCTAGGAATCACCATCAGTAAGACACTTCATGCGACACATTTTGAAAGCAGGACGGGAAAGAAAGGAAGACCTACCAATCCTCCACATTGAGCGTGGTCGGCGCTGTTGGGCCACTGCGAGAGCTCGTACTCCAGTTGTCGTCCTGACTGCCGGCATCCATGGGACGCAAAGTTGCCTCGAGGTGTTGCATGGGCCACGTCTGCTGATTTTCCAGACCATACATCGGTTGCGCATGTTGGCCCTGCAGCGCAATGCCTGGAGGCAGATTCGACAGTAGCTCCGGGCTCCCGTGAGAGGCCGAGATACTGCTTCGTCCTGGCATATGCTGCGGCATCATACCAGGTTGTTGTACTTGAGAGGGCACCTGCAGTTGCGGGTCAACTGTAGCAGGTCGTGGGGATGTCAGCTCTGGGAAGAACGCCGTCCCGTCAGGGAACAGCTGATCGGGCTGGAAGTTCTCCCACAGAGACGGTGAAAGATTAGGCGTTGTTCGCGTGACGAGGAAGAGGTCTGGTGGTGTGGCAGGCAAAGAGAATTGATTGAATGGTGTTGTTGGACGTGTAGTCGCCCGCGAGTTGCCAGGCCCTCCATGTCCTGGAGGTGAACCCTGCGGCACGTTCAGGCCGGGCGGCAGATCCCTAGACGGTGTGACCGCTGGGGTTTGGGGTCTAGATCGCTCGTAAGACACCGGGGGCGTCGGTCCACCATTGGGCAAGCCGAGGTCCATGTCATCGAACTTGCGCTTTGGTGGATCCGGTCTTCTGACATGCGGCTGCTGCACTGTCTCGGGCCGCACACGCTGATGCCTTTTACCTGCAGCTTTCTGCAGGCGTTCCTCAAGTACCTTGTTTCCAAGAATGGATTCGAACAACGTGTGTACCATCTTGGCCACAAGCCAGACCTTGGACACGTCTTTGAGAGCTTGGGTGCAGATGTTGATCCTCTCCTGGCAGGTCGCCACAATCGAGGGCACAGATGAACGCATCTGATAAACGTGCATGATAAGAGCTGAGAACAAACTATAGACACTGTTCAAGAGTTAGCAACCGATTGGCAACGGCTGGCAGCTGAATCCTACTCACATGAAGGCGGGTGTATAACGAATCTCATGATGAGCTTGCAAATTCTCAACAATGGATGTGATCATCCCTGCGGCCTGGAAAGCGATAGTGCGCGACGGATAGGTCATCTCTTCCACGCGGTAACTACTAGGGGCCGAAGAGGCAGGCGGCATATGCGCTCTGTGCAGCAGGCAAAGAGTCGTACTTTTAATAGGGTTAGCCAGAGTAAAAACCAGAAGCTCTGCTTCGAGACTCACTAGTAGTTCGCATGCAGAAGGGCCGCCCAGAAGTGATGTTGTTGGCGTTGCCAACATACTTCTTTGGGACAGTTCTGTAACCAATCTGCCAGGGCCATGTCTGAGTGCGTCAAGTCCATTGCATTCATTCGCCTCGACTTTGAAGCCACGGAATACTGCTGGGAAAGAACCAAGCCCATGATCTCGCATAGTTTGACGTATTGGAGGAAGAATTGCACATGTACCGGATCAGGCGGATACTCCGCGGCGATGTCGACCTCGTCTTCGATGAAGTCGTCTTCGGTCAGCATTCCGACGTCTGAGTCGTCTGTGTTGATACCGATGGGGCGACCCAGTGCAACTGCCACCGACCGATCCCGAGTGAAAAGGGTCCACCAAATTCGCTTCCACAGCCTCTTGTCGGGCTTGCTAAGCTGAGACGATTCCACACTGTAACTCAATGAGCATACTCGGCTTCCTCCCAACGATGCGGTCAACATACCTTCGATGCATGCCTGAGCCCTGCGCCACGACCATGGCCACACGTGTCCAATAGAAAACGTTTTTGGTGACGTCTAAGGCGTGTCAGTGGTGTGTCAATAACGTTGGGAATGCGCGAAGGTAAGATCAACGTACCCTCCGGTCCCTCCCAGTACCAGCCTAAAAGGACCAAGGCTTGGACAATCGTCACGCGATCATCTTCATAATTGGCATCGTACAAAGCCTTTGCGCGCTTGTAGAACGTCATGGCAGCCGGGGTCGTTGAGCCGTTGGCATCCATGAGTTGCGGGTTTGTGCAGACTCTTGAACCAGCAAGAAGAATAGCCTGGAGAAGAAGTAAGGAGGGAGGGTTTTTGGGATCGCGGTAATGTCGCATGAAACGACTACGGTTGACAATGGGCACCACCGGGGCAACCCATTTGAAGTAGGCCTCAACTAGCTCATCACACAAAGGTTTCGGCGGCAGTAGAAAGGCACCGCGTTGGTGAAGGATATCTAACTCCAGGCTATCCAAATCCGTCACTCTAGCGCGCGTGCCCCCCATGTTGGGAGGTAGGGGATAGTGCACAACATCGGTGGTGCCATGGCGGTCTTGGACTAGGAGCGACAGATTCGACGACTCGCCGAGGTAGGCGACTCTTCCAGCTTCCTTGATAGGGGCCCGGGCGAATTTGGGCTTCATAAACTGGGCATAGGCTGAGTCATGGGACGCTTGTTTCGCAGCTTGCGATTCGGTGAGGCTAGTTACCGGCATTCCGTCCATCGCCATTTGACTTTCTCGGTATCCGAAGGTAGCATTGCTATTGCTCGATGACACGCTTGCCGGCGGCGCGGTGGTAGTTACGGTGGGCGGTTCCTGGTTTGCCTCGGGCGGTCTCTCATCGCGTTCCTCACTTCTAATGAGCAGAGTATGATCAGCCTGACTGGCTCAGAAGGCATCCCTCTCGAAATCAAGACCAAGACGTACCCTTCGGACTCTTTCGACTTGGATTGATTCTTCTTGCGTTTCGGCGTTGGGATCTTGCATTCAATCGAGAATGCCACACAGTTGGTGCATGGCACACCGAGGCTGGCGGCGTCGCAGCGAACCTGGGAATTAGGTCGTGCTGTTAGTGATACAGTTCCGTTCTGAACCCCACGGGCGCAGGGACGGAGGTGCGACCAGTGAGGGAGATTATCCCACAACATCTTCGCCTTTAGGGTAGGGGAGTACTCACTTTGCGAGCATGACATGTCTTCACAGCGCAGATAAAGTTAGTCAGTCAGCACGAACAATTGTCTTCTGATACACAGGATGATGGTTGTGTTGCAATCGTACGACCAGCATCGATCGCATGCGTTATCGCGGGCGGGCGGGAGAGCAAACGAAACGAGCGAAGCAAGAGTTGAGTTGGGATGAGCCGAGGTGCCGAGGCACTCCAGCACAACGCGACCTCGCAGGAACAAAAAGACGTACCTCACAAGCACGCGACGCACGTTGTCTGTTTCGCAAAGCGATTAGATAAAGAATATTAGCTTCTATAAGTTCCCCAATCTAGATCCGAGCCTCTGCATTTTCCCCAGTTGTTTAAAATAATCTCCGATTCCCAGGGGGAGGCTGCTTTTGCGCCTGAGCTCCTGAAGAAGGTCTTACAACCCCGCGAGCGCAACACCCGCAATCGATCAAAGGAAAAGGAAAAGGGATAACCATATCAGCTCACCTTCGAAAACTCATGTGTCCCCCAGGTGCAGCGCGCACCGTAATCCCAGGAGTTCCCGTCGAGCCCGCAGTGCTCGGGGCAGGGCTGGTTCTGGTGGCTGGTATTTCGATGTGATTCTCTGCTGGGTTCATGGCCACAAGGTATCCATCCAGACAGAAAGTCAGAGCAAAAGAGGGAACCTGGGCGCGGCGGAAGGGGGGTTACGTGGTCAGAATAAGGGGACAGAAGAGAATTCGAATTCGGGAAATCAGTCGAAAACGGGGATAGGATGTGAAAGGGAAATGGAAAGAAGCGATGCGAGCAAGATGCGCGGAGTTGATGACTCTGCTTTTTTTTTGGCCTTTGCTAACCTTCTTTTTTTCGACCGTGGGTTGGATTGATCAGCTACTGGAACTGACCCGGAACGGTGTAGCCTGTCTGTCTTAGTCCGACAAGTGTAAATTGTCCAGGGGACGGGGCGGAATGAGACGGTCAAAAAGGCCAAGCTAGCAGAGGAGACGCCACCCAAACGTGGGAAACTGGACAATCGGGAGGTCAGACGATGGGGGAATGAGGGGTGCAGGAGAGAGGAAACTCCCGGAATGAGAGGGAAGGCAGTGAAGTAAATCAATGATGTGGTGGTAGTGGTGGTGGTTGATCAGGAACCCGCAGAACACTGGGAATAGTTACGGCTAACTACCCTAAGACAGCAATAAGAGCGATAATATAAAATAAACTCAAAAATTCAAGGGACGGACCATCCACGGAGAGAGGGGAGAGAGGAAAGTCACCACAAAATTGCCCTGCAGGTGGCGTTAGGCTGGAAAAGAGAGGAAGAACCAGACCAGACCAGACCAGACCAGCACCAATTCAAGTAGGATGACCGTTTCGACGGTGGAAGTGGAAGGGGGGATTGAGAGGGAGTGGAGAAAATGGCTTAGTATTGCTTTGGTGCTTGCTTGCTTGCTGGTCCCAGAATTTAGTACTGAGCATCTTTCCTTAGCTTAGTGCTAGAGAACTTAAGTTAGGGTCCATTCAGCTCATCAGCTCAATCAGGAGGAACGAACGATGCCAGAGCTAGAGATGAACCTGTCAGACTATCTCTATCTGTCCATGTCCGACCCGACTGAGCTGCATGCGGACTTATTGTCAGTTCTTGGGATGGGTCGGATCATGGGACCATTGGCAACAGATGAGACAGGGATGATACTCAGGTTGGAGAGACGTCGAACAAGAAGGATTGACGCGACTCAACCCCAGCTTCGCGCTCTCACGACGCGCATCACATGATTCCATATGCCCACACAACAGGTTCCTTGATCAAAGTGCCTTTCAAGCAAAGAATGATAATATTAATATCTACGATGCTAACGAGCAGCCAACATGAGCATCCTTCACAGCAGTCAAACAGTCTTCTATTTTCAAAAGTGGTCGAGTCTGGAATCCTCTCCCCACAAAGTGGATCCCAGGTTTTGACCGAGGTTCCCTTGTTCATTACTGTTCCTTATGCCACCCTTCCACGCATTGCAATTACTGCCCCTCTCACTGGACGGTCGTACAATTCCGGCCCGAGTTGGACGTAGTCTTTGAAATCCATCCGTCGAAGCTTCTTCCATTCATTCCAAGCAAGGCACAGAGCAGTATAAACCCCATCGGAGAAAACGTCAGCCCTTGACAACTAATTAAGAACCACGCAGTCCATGCCGCTCAAATCTTAACTTCTACCCGTGCATCAAATCTTAGTTACTTACCGCTACCGTGCTTAAGTTTAAAAACAAACAAATTAAAAATTGAAAGTGCCCCAAAATCGAACCCACTTTACCCTACTCAACCCAACCACGCACCCGTTTTTTGAAGCCGGAGCGAGGAAGAGATCGCCCATCCATAATCTTGATTTCTTCACTTTAACCTGAACATCAAATCTGATACAATTCTCTAGGTAATCAGTGATTGATTGAGCTTGAAGATAAAGATCATGGGGAGTGTCGCATAATCGACTAACAAAGTATTATGAACGGCGATGCAGTATAAGATACCTAGTACATTGTTATCAATCAGCGCCTCCCTTACAGTACCTTAGGATACTTCTGGACATAGTATCCGTAGAACACAACAAGTACTATTAAGATCAATTTACGCCTCTATAGTTGAACTTATTCTTTCTCTCCCCCCACCCTCCCCGAAATACAAACGTCCAAAGTCACTGCCCATTCAGTACCTACAGGAAATAGCAACTCAACACCAACCACACAAGAACCACCCCCCGCCCCTCCCCCATTCGCAACAACTACCCTTCTCGTTCAACAACCCCCGGAATCACCCCAAATCACCCCGGAATCATCCCGAAACGCAACAAAACCATCAACAGCCACAAAAAGCATAACCCGCACCCCTGCCCCCAACAAGAAACCTAACTAAACCCACGAAGGATTCCATTTAGCGGGGAAAGTCAAGTGTCCGGGCCCCGGAGGGGGAGCTAAGGGGACCGACCCCGCCTCCAGCTCCCGTAGCTTGGCCCCCGCAGGTATCTAACTGCCAGCCCGGACCGGCCAGTCATTCAGAGGCCCTAACTACATGGAACTTAATGCATGACGCCAACAGCACAGAATCAAGTCAGACTGGCCCAGAAGGAGGGGAGGTGGGCGCGGACGGGCATGATCCGGGGGTATTCTTTCCCTGTTGGAAAAAAAGAAAAAAAAATTGCTTGAAGGAATTGTCCCCGTAGCACGGTTGGTGTTCGGCTTGTGATACCTCGGTTCATGGGCGAACTACATCATTTGTTGGAGACAGGAGACAGAGCTGTGAGGTGATTGCTCTTTCGACTGTTTATTTCGTTATGACGAAAGGGATTGTGATGGGAAATAGAATTCGTGATATTGAGCATGTACAATACGATTCTACATTACATCTTTCTACTTCTATCAAGACAATTCGACCCCAGACTAGGGCTGGCCAACGGCATAGGACCAGTCTGTCTAGTCTTCTCGACTTGCTGCCGGGTCTGGCACCTCGCCGCTGATGACTTCGGCGACAGCCGCGGCCACCTGGTTGGCGCGGGCTCCAAAGTCGACTCCGCTGATAAATACCTCACTGAGGAACTCCAGCCCCGCCACAAATGTACACAACAGGCTGGCAATCAGGAAGTGGCTGATCGTCGTGCCGATATCCAACCAGGAGCCCTCGTCGCGGACCATGTAAAAGAAGTTAAGCGTCATAATGTCCGAGATGGACATCACCACCATGAACAATGCACTAGGGGCGACCTCGAGCCGCCGATTCAGGATCCCAAGATTTGCACTAATGATCGCAAATGGGATGAGGAGTTTGAGAATGAGCAGCGCCCCTTGGCTGAAGGGGTTGAAGATCGGAATAAGTCGGTAGACGCTATCCAGTGAGAATGAGGAGACGGATGCGATGTTTCCCGTGCTGAAGAAGCCCGACTGGAGGAGAAAGAAGAAGAAAAGGGCAACGCGAGCGTCGGACACGCTTAAACTCCGGTACCGATACGCGTGGCCTTCCACGGTGGTCGTAGCATCCGCGCTAGACTTTTCGGTGGCTGAAGCCGCTTTCTTGGTGGCCGAAGTATATGTGTAGATCGCATGCTCCAGTCGTACCCAGGTCATAATGGTCATGCAGAATACGAAGTAGAACAGCCCTTCGTACGAGATCGTGAGGATGATAAATGTCGGAGAGAAGGTCAGAAAAAGGACCATTAACCGATGCATGTAGTGGCTGTTGGGCGCTAGTCGGTGGACAAAGGGGAGCAGGAGCGATGCAACTAGGATCCCGTTAGCTTCACTCGACAAAGCAGTGCTGCATGATGGGCAACATACCAAGGACAACCCAACCAACAACTTGGTTCCCAAATGGGAGGCCTTGCTTAGCTTGAAGGGACGCCGCACTGGATCTGGTGACTATAATAGCAAGCAGAACCTTGCCAAGCTGTTTAGGGTTAGTACACGCTACAGTAACGAATATTGAGAGGCCTGGGACTGCATATAATGGCTTGACGCCAAATTATGCGGGGTGGACAATGTACCTGCATCCCTAATATAGTGCGCGAGCCCCAGCTAGAGCGACTGTCGGGCAGTTTTCGTGATTCTTGGTCAAGGCCCAAGATTGTATCCTCGAAAAGCAAGTATAGTAGACCCGAAAAAAACATCAAAAGACCACCATATGTTCTGTGTAATTAAGTCAGCAGTTTGCACAGACTTTTGTAAATCGTACGAGACGCTTACATAGTGGTAATGTCCTCGACCTTGTTTGCCGGTAGCAGAGTGAAAGTGCTCATTAGGAGACACCCGACTGACCATGAAGCAGACAGGAATGTATGTCTCTTCAAGAAGCCCAAGCCATAGACCAAAGGCCAAAAAGCACCTAGAATGAAGCAAACAGTGTAAATCTCCCGTTGGAAGTAGGATTGGACCTGTTAGAACTCATTAGCAAATCATTCTTGCTAGCGGCTTAGCGAAACTTACCAACGCCTCTAAAACTCCAACAAACACCAATAGCTGAATACCGAGCGTGGCGTAACCGCTTGCAGATTGTACATGGCCCAGAAGAATTTCACGTCCAGCGGAAAGAGCTTTTCGGCGGGCAAAAACTTCTTCCCAGAAGAAGACGGGGAAAAGGCCGTAGAAATAGTAGCGCCAGGAGGACTTTTGATACCAGAAGACAGAAAAGAGCGCAACCAGTACGGAAGAGAAGAACATGGTGCTGAAAACAGTTCTTCTTGCGTCAGATGTGCCGTGCAAAACGTGCAGGTCGATAACCGTCGTCAAAGCGTAAGCAATCCACCCCAGGTATCCGAAAGTCACAATGGCTCTGAGGAAAAGCCAATCATATGTCTGTAGATAGCGCAGACCTTCCAAGGCCCTAGCAAAGAGCGATGATGACATCTCGATCGAACTCTCAAAGGCGCCGCTCGCAATTAGTCTCTGGATCTCCTCGACGACCTCGCTGTGGTTGTCGAGTGGCTCGTAAGGCTTATATCGGAGCAACACGGCCTGTTTTTGTTCTTCCTTCACATTATACATTTCCAAGACCTCCTGAGTATTCGCAAGCGCAGCACGGGCCTTCTCTTCTGGGCTGGCATCGAGGTAAGCGAGAGGCAACTGACCCACTGAGTTGGTTGGAAAGTCAAGCCCAGCCAGGTATGCCATGAGCGCCGCGACATCAGCCTGTGCAACATCGTTTCGCTGAACACCATGCAGACCCCAGTCATGCGATACACCGTCTTCATGTCCTGATAAGGTACCCTCCTGCGGTATCTTGGGGCCAGCAACACCGGACCCCCATACAACAAGAGGCGTCCGAGTATTGTCTGGGTGACCATCACCATGACTGCCCCAATCGCTCATGCCGTGATCCGCGGTGAAAACAAATGCCGTCTGCTCGTCTCCGTAGAATTCTTCCACTAGCTGAGTTATCTCCTGCACACCCCGGTCCACCACCTTTATATTGCTCAGATACTCCTTCGAGTACGGGCGATAGCCATGGCCAGTGGTATCAAGGCCGAGAAGATGCAGGAAGAATACAAGCTTGTCGTCGCGCAGCTTGGCATCTAGCTCAGGATCACTTTTTGCGGATTGGAAAAGTTCCTTGACCTTATCGAAGACCCAGGTGTCAAGCTTTGTCGCATCCGAGGTAAAGTCCTCCGCCTCCTCGCCGTATGTGTCTGCATCCACTCTATCTGGAACCGCACCTTCCTTGAACATGGGCAGAATATCCGGACTTCCCCAGCTCCATGTATGCCGACTCCGGTTGAAAACACTGTCGAAGTTCACCGGGTTCAGCTTCCATCCTGTGGTCACTGCCGAAACGTCCTCATATAGACCTGCAATAAGAGCAACATGGCCCGGTCTAGATTCGGTTGGAACACGAGTATGGGAAATGCCAAAAGTGCCGTGGGAAAGCACGCGAGATCGAATGAATGGGGCGAGGTAAATTGGTTCATCGTCGTTTGCGGTTTCGTCGGGGTCGGGCGATGCTTGGAAGGCCTTATCGGCGCGCAGGCCGTCGGCCACAAACAAAACAAGTCGCTTGGCTGGAGCAGAGGCACCCGGGTTTCGTTCCACATGGAACGACTTCATCCCACTCACAATCGGGCTAACGAAGTAAATGTCAAAGATTGAATAGGCGTAGATGAGGTGAAAGACCACGGCGAGGGTGAGGAACCCTGCGCGGCCCAGACGCGCCATGTTTGCGGTGGCAGAGGCGCAGACGTAGGTAAGACAAGGTGAGAAAGAGAGATCAAAGATCAGAAAGAATCGAAAGTCATTAGAATCAAGGATTACACCGATAATTCATTAATCTGAGGAGGAGACACAACGCTGAGGTATTCCAGATGCCACAGCATCCCCCCGGTCAAGCTTAGCTTTAGGGGAATCAGAAAGATGGCCGCACATTTCCGCGTACCTGATTTGGGGGAACCTTGGGGAAGACCCGCAACCAATCGGTGACCCCTGATTCGACACGCGAGCGGGTCGTCAAAGTACAATACGTACAGTACGTACTATGTGGTACGGAAGGCTGTGAGAGCCAAAAGCGAAGTGCCCTGAACCATGTCCGCCTCAGGCTTCGACTTGAGTGTGGCAGTGAAGCATGTGATTCTGCCGGCAAAGCCACGTCTCATCGAGCGCCACACCTCTCAGCTCGTTCGCCGACAGCCGACCCGGCGACAATCGCGATCATATCAAATCGCCTGAGGACCGTGAGAATAATAGACCGCTGCGCTTCTTTTCACATTTATCATAGTTGCGGACACCTGACTACGCACTACTCAAGCCAGTCACTGCTTTCCGTCATCATGGCTTCCGCTCGTGGTCCCCGATGGCAACAGTTCTTACAGGAGTTGGTCATGGTTGCGGGCACAGTAAGTTGATGACGCTGCAGACCTCGGAACAATACTGACAGATCGTGAGTAGTCTGCATCTGCATACTTCCTCATTCGATACCTTATCTCGCGCCTCGACTTTGATCCCGAGAGTCAGAAAAAGGAAGAGCAACGACGCAAATCCGCAGCCATCCTACGGAAACTTGACGGCGGGGATGAATCAGACGAGGGTTCGCCGCGCCGCGGGCGCAAAGAAAAGAGTCGGTCCAAGAGAGGCGATCTGACCCTCAACCAATACGAACAAGCCATCGCGATGGATGTGGTCGCTCCGGATGATATCCATGTGTCTTTCGAAGATATCGGCGGCCTGGATGAAATCATCGAAGAGCTGAAAGAGTCTGTCATATACCCCCTCACGATGCCCCACCTATACTCCTCGTCCTCCTCGCTCTTGACTGCACCATCGGGTGTCTTGCTGTACGGACCGCCTGGATGCGGAAAGACCATGCTTGCGAAAGCGTTGGCGCACGAGAGCGGCGCATGCTTCATCAACCTACACATCTCGACATTGACGGAGAAATGGTACGGCGACTCAAACAAGCTTGTCAACGCAGTATTCTCGCTAGCTCGAAAACTTCAGCCCTCGATTGTTTTTATTGATGAGATTGATGCCGTGCTGGGCACGAGACGGAGCGGAGAACATGAGGCCAGTGGCATGGTAAAGGCAGAATTCATGACACATTGGGACGGCCTCACATCCGCAAACTCCTTGGGAGAACCTCAGCGTGTGGTTGTTTTGGGTGCCACCAACCGTATCCAAGACATCGACGATGCCATCCTCCGACGAATGCCGAAGAAGTTTCCGGTCGTCCTCCCACCCGCAGCACAGCGCACGCGGATTCTCAGTCTGATATTGAAGGACACGAAGGTTGACCGGGACAACTTTGATCTGCACTACCTCGTTAAAGCCATGTCGGGCATGTCCGGCAGTGACATCAAGGAGGCGTGCCGTGATGCGGCCATGGTTCCGGTGCGAGAGTTAATCCGACAAAAGAAGGCTGATGGACAGCAGATGGCTTCAGTAGACCCCAAGGATGTCCGTGGTCTGCGCACGGAGGACTTTTTCAGTCGTGCCGGTGGTGTCCGGGTCATTCCTCCACCCACTCAGGTTCAGACCAAAGCGAACTCGGAGAAAGAATGGAGTACCGAGTCTGAAGCGACGTCTGAAGTAGAGACACGACCGGCGGAGATGGCCGAACCTCCCGAGTGAATTATATTTATCTTTATCTGGCATCGATTGGATTTCCCTGTGCATGTTACCTCTATGTCAATTTATACTTGTCTGACGGGCCCGGCGTTTCTTTTTTCTCCTCTCCGGTTCTTTGGCTATCTAAGCGCGAATTGTTGCCAGTGACGATAACTGGCCTGTTGGCTCTGTGCAATTCATGTTTCTGCGACAGGGTTTACTAGACATGCTTCTGTTCATAGACTGTTTCTGAAGTCCTTGTGTATTATCATCATCAATGCTTGGCTGGGATGAAAATGCTTGAGACAAGATATTGCTATTCAAGGCATTAGCAATGGAAATAGTATTGTAACCCGATTACGCGGCCCGCCAAAGTCGGTGGTGTGCTATGGTACCATACAGTACGACTCGGTACGCCACGGGCGACGTCAAGGGAGGGCGAGACAAGTTCAGACGGAGAGACTCACAAGATTCCTACTGGTAACGTTAAATACTGTATGCACTTTGGGAAGGCTTCTTGCCGATCAAGCGGTTCCCACTCGCCTTACTCTCCTTCTCAATCGTCGCCGCTGTCCTTCTGCATTCTCCTCCAGCTTCGAAATTCCCCGAATTCCTTTGACGTTCTGTCCCGACCGATCAGGAGACAGTCGGTTGATCAACCCCCCGACCTGGAGTCGTCATCATAAGGGACTAGACTCCATACTTACTTTCTCTTATCCCGCGCTCCCCCCCTCAAAGCCTCCCCTCCCCCAACCGCAGCTCAACCCTTAAGGGTGGCTTAGAGCCTATATCCCCGAAGTCGATACAGTCTCATAATCGGGCCAAAGCACGGGTGCTACTGTCCTGATAATCTCCAGGTGCCGCGGGTGTTTCACGATTAGGACACGGATGCGATAACCACAAACGCCGCATGACGAATGGTCTGAGATAGAGACCTCCGATGGCAATCAGTGCCTGGGCGATCCCATCCAAGCTAAGCTCGCTCTGGAGAGCTGACAACATCTAAAACCTCTTATTATCCTTCTCCCACAGCCAGGGATGAGTTCTAACAGCGGCTTGGCCGAAGCCTTCAACCCCGGGACCGCAAGCACTCGATCCACGTCAACGGTGCGACCGCGAACTCGCCGCTTGATCTCCATCGTCGACAGCGACAATGAGGATGGTGGGAGGCAAATGCAGTCCTCTGGACTATCATCGATGCTGTCTTCGGAGTCGGTGGTACGCTCTCGCGGTGCCACCCCATCCCCAAACCCATCCCGCGGAGTGTCCCCTATTCCGATGAGACATCCATCTCGAGCTACCGAATCCTTCAACCGCAATCGAGGAAACAGCTCCCTAGGTGGGTTTCGTTGAAGAAATGAGGACAGGATTCAAATTGGCTGAGACAGTACATTCTCCTATAGATTTTCTGGATGCATCTTGGTCGTCGCTGCAAAGCTTGGCCTCATCGGTACTAGGGAGCGATATTGCGCGACCAGCTTCCAACGGCACCGCGCGAGGTCATGCTCGGAAACCCTCCCGACCGGACTTGTATTCGAGACCGCCCCCTCGTTCATCCATACCTGCGTCATGGGGACCATCGGCTCCGTCGACACCAGAAATTGGAGTGGGGACCAAGGAAGAGCGGCAGGCATTGGTGCAGGCAAAGAAACGCGAAGCTCTTCTGCTGGCCGACAGCGGGCCAGCTTGGGCACCCGGTTCGCGACATAAGCGGCGGGATTCGAGCGACCAAACGGGTCATTCCAACATTGACGCGGAGCAGGATGAGGACTCGCTAGTATACATACATCATGTGCAACCGACAGATACCATCACCGGTGTTACGATACGATATGGCTGCCAGCCGGCAATTTTTCGGAAGGCCAACGGATTCTGGCCCAGCGATAGCATACAAGGCCGGAAAACGGTTCTCCTGCCGGTTGCCTCTTGCTCGATCAAAGGACGGCCAAAACGGACTGGACCCGACGCCGACCTACTGAACGGTACTCATGAGTCTCTGGAAGACTTAAATGGAAGCTCGATTGCACCCACTGCGGTACCGGGACATCCGAAGACGGAACCATCAAATACTATACATGAAGGAGACGGGGACCGGGTCTGGAAGCACGAGTCTTGGGTAGAGATCGAAGGATTCAGTGCTCCAGTGGAGATAGGGCGCATTCCTCGAGGCGCATTGGGGTTCTTCCCACGCACGCGGCGAAAATCGGTCTCCTATACCGACTCAGTACCATCGCCATCCTCGGATCAGGCACGAACGGCAACAGCCTCCTCTGTATCGTCATCACCGGCTGAACCCCACTCCTTCCAGCCTCCCGTATTCCAATGGAGCCGCCAATCGACCGACGCCTTTTCTCCCAAGAACCCCAAGAGGCCCGGAACCCGGCATCAGCGCCAGCGCAGCGGCATCCAATTCTCCGCCCCCGGCGTCGGCACCCTCGACCGTGATATCACCGCCCCGGGCCCCGCGATGGACGGACTGAGCAAGTTCTTCGCGCAGCATCTCCCCAACCTTGCGCCCGCAACCCGACCCCCGAACTTCGAGACCACCTCCGATACCCCGACCGCCTCCGCCGTGTCCAACACCCCCACGGGTCTCGAGAACTTCGGCGGTGCTGTCGAATCGTGGGTCCGCAAGATGACCAGTCGCGCCAAAGCCAGTCTCAACGACCTGCAGCAAGCAACCGGCACACCCAGCAGCACGGACCCCACGGTCCAGATCCAAACCAGCGGCCGCCGCAATCTGGGCGATCTCATCGAGCTGAACGATGGACTAGAGCCGGCAGCAACCCACCCGTCCGGACCCGCGGACTCATCCTCTTCCCATAGTAGCGCACGTCGCAGCAACCTCGACCGCAAATCCCCACCATCAGCATCGACCTCCCTCCTCCCCAACGGAACCTCCTCCACATCCTCGTCCTCGACCCTCAGAGGCCGCTTCCCCACCCCGTCGCCTGGACGATCGAGCAGGACTCATCAATCCAGGGATCGCTTCAAGGATGATTGATCGCCGGTGGTACTTCGGAGGACAACCGGTACATGAAATTCCATTCAGCGAACCTTTTGCCCTGATTTTCTCTCTATAACATAGCAAAGTCTTTTTGTCCCTCTCATACACCCACTCCAGGTGCAAACTATAATCCACCCCACCCGTTTCCCTTTCCACCAATTCATAATTCTTCAATTCCATCTGGCTTTTGCATAGCAAGAAATATAATTCCCGGCTCGAAATGGCGTGCGTGTGTGTTTGTACGTACCGTGTCCGCAGTATTACCGCTTGCTTGACTATGTAGGGGTATTGTTCTTTATAGTGTATGTATGGTTTGAGTATTGTTTTGGTGCCGAGGGAGGAGGAGGAGGAGGAGGAGGAGGGGCTCTGCTATTCTCTTTCCAGATGGGCTTTTGGTGGTATGTGATGTGTATATAGAGATGCATTTTTGCGGAACGATGCTATCTTCTTCATTGAAGTTTCATGATTAGACTATTGTTCTGGTTGTCTCGTCTCGGATTGTCATACCCCACGTGATTATGGAGTGGTAGGGGGGGGGTCCGGGGACGGGGGGGGGGGGGGAAAGGGGGGAAGGTAGTCAGAATAAGTTTGATATAGCTAGTTCGGTTCGTCTTGTGGGATTATTCTCGGTGGTTTTCTCTTGTCTGTAGGCGGGGACTATGTATAGACGGGTGTAGCTTCAGATGTAAGTGGTGTGTATCTCCGTCTAGTTGTGATGCATCCCGGTTCGTGGATAGTAGGGGCAAATACACTAATATCGAAGAGCCATCCACCCTTGGTAAAGTTACTTTGATCATAAAGGCAAGCAACGGGTTGATACGACCCTGCCAATCAGAAAAACAAATTCATGAGTAAAGAGGATAGACCCGCTAACTTATATACATGTAGAAACTAAATGTCCTGAGCGCCAGGCAAACGCTGAAGTGGTCCAGGAGATGCATAGTGGAATCTGGTATCAAGGAAGCAATATAGCAATATCATGACGAATCGGGAGCGTTACTCCGTCTTTTCCTTGGTGAATCCCTTCAGAAAAGAGAGGGGACCCGTGTGGCCGTGCTGCTCGCGCTCACGCTGGCGCTGCTCCTTCGCTCGTTGGCGCTCCTCCTTGAATGCCTCCCAGGAGAGGTTGGCGGCCGAGTCGGAGACGCTGGCGTCGGAGCCCAGCGACTCTTTGTTGTGCTTTTCCGTCTGCACGCGGAGGTAGTGGCTGAGAGAGGTGGCTTCGTCTTGCGAGACGTGGGCGGCCTTGGGCGGAGGGAGGGGCCGCACGGCTTCATCGCCGCCGTAGAGCCAGAGCCCGCGGCTAAAGGCCCACTCGACGGCTTCTTCGACGGGCTCGTCGAAGAGATACGGGAGGAAGGGGACGACGGCGAGACCAAGCTGTGATAGTTAGTCAGTTGTCTCTGCGGCGGTGGTTTCAGATTGCAGAATGACTTACTCCGATGGGAGACCAGGTGCGGAGGAATGTGTTCGAGGCATTCTTGAACATCCGGCCCGAGTATTTGACAACGGAATGGATAGTGAGGGCCGGAAGACCCATACTGGCGATACTTTGGAAAACGGCGCGCTTGGCCATGACCATGCGATAGTCCTCGACGAGGGGGATTTCGGTGGTGGGCCAGGGCGTGAGCGTATCGGGCGATGCCGAGGCGAGAGATCCGGTCAGGTTGCCGGTAACCATGCCCTTGGCGACTTGTCCATGAGAAAGATCGCTGGCATCCTTGTAGGCCTCACATGGGGGGGCGAGCAGGCTGCGGTTGCGCAGGTAGGCCTTGTACCCTTCATGCGCGACGTCGCCGATCAAGTACGTCCAGGAGATACCGTAGGCGGAGCGCACGAGCCACGGGTGCGCGACGGGGCGGAAGGACTCGCCGATGTCTGAGGTGTAGGCGACATAGCGGTGGGCGGAGAGCAGAATCGTGCGAAGACGAGTGGCGTAACCGGCATAACGGTAGGGAGTTTCCGTGGAGTCAACCGAGCTGGCGATGGGTTAGATTGATCCCGACTTATTTTTCCGCGTATTAAATTCATGGTTGCTGCTGCTTGGGCTGGCGTCGGGATGATCGCAGCGCCTAGCGGACAGTTGCAGTTCGGCGCTTGCGGGGAAGAATGCGGGGGAGACGCGGAGGTGGTCGGGCGACGAACGGTGCGTCGCAAAGGCCCTAGGAAACAGGGAACAACATACTAGGAGGAATAAATGTCATCGTAGAAGTCATCGTCATGGTCAACAAGCTTCTGGAGCTGATCCGGCAGCTTCTCGCGCGGAATGGGTTGCTGTACCACCTCGGGCGCTTTGTCTTGCTGTTTCCCCCAGATCATGATGCGGTCGCGTGAGAGGATCAGAAAACTAAGCGATGAATAAGTGAGGTGTCCTGACTGCGGTCCTGACTGCGGAGATGAGAGGATTGTTGACTTACTGAGGATTATATGGTGTAGAGACAGAAGGTTGCAAGGGGGTATGCAATGTAATGAAGGGAGGTGAAGTGAAATTGAATTACACAAAAAGAGAGAAAGACCGAGAAAAAGAAGTGAGGGAGGAATGTAAGAAGAGAAGAAGAAGAAGACTGAAGCAACCAAAAAAAAGCAGAAGAAGGGGCAGCTGCCCCAACAGATCATTCCATGCAATAGCCGGGGTAAATCTTGCCCGTCATAGCCAGAATGGAGGCTCTCAGCTCTCCGTGTCTTGCTTTCTCGCCCCGAGGTCTGTCGGGAAACAGGAAGCCAGCAGCTGTGCTGGGCCTAAAACACCGCCACAATCACTTACAGTCCAAGTAGTGACCTCATGGCTGGCAGATGCACGCTGCGTTGGTCAACGGCTTAGGATTGAGTTGGCTCCGATGAAGTTAAGCTGTTGTGTGTACTGTTGGTGACTCTGACCATCACATTGTTGAATCAGTCCAATTGTAGATCACTGATTTGGATCATCTTATAATGGATGAGATTATTGTTGAGGAGTGCATGAGGACATCATCGGCCCATACAGACAGTAATTATCAGCTGATATCCCGTGATTGCTTCCCGAACGTCATCCACCGTCGGACGTTCCCGGGATGAGCGCTGCATCACGTGGGTCTACTGATCTGGAGTCCTGGACAGCGATGCTGACACATTACTGACTCAGCATCAAAGCTCACAGTTGCTGACTCATAACTGAGTCAGCTTACCATACCCAATCGGGGCAGAACCAGCAGCCGCAACTTCCTCCGCTGCCGTCCGTTCGACTTATTCGCGCAGGAACCTATCATCGCACCGCTTCTCCGCCAAACTCCATTCAATTCCCTCCCTCTCCAATCCGTCACCATGGTCGTCTACTACCAGATCGCCGGCAAGAAGGTCGGCTCCCACTATGTACGTACTCCGCTGCGATGGTTACTCGCACCCAACCTCTGCCCGGCCCTCCCTGTCGTCCGAGGCCAATTTCTGTCCAGGTGTTGTGGGATGGACGGCGTCTGGCCTGCGTCATGAGGATCCATGACTAACGGGGAAATGCTCTTCTAGCTCGCCATGGGTGTCCTCGGTGCCCTCTTCGGTGGTGTCAAGCTTGCCATGGGCGGTGGCAGCCAGCCCAAGCCCGCTGCTCCTCCTATCCAGGCTTCCTCTAAGGACGAGGAGGAATTCATCACGTACGTTACCGAAGACCCTAAACAGGCAGAGCACGCACATCTCCCCACTCCCGAAATGGCGGCCCTTCAAGACTATCGGATGCAACTTCAGCTGCTGGCGCTGCAGGAGAAGCGGCGGAAACAGCGGCTTGTGAAAGATACTCGCGAAGGGCTGGACGCCACGCCCCTTCCTGACGGTCAGCCACCAGCGGCCTGATCAGCCAGGGGCCTGCAACGCAGACGCAGGGTGCACCCAGTTATCGCAACCGCGCTCGAGCTAACGAATTGGCTACAGGGACTTCCTGAAGCAGGTGAACGGAGACGACAAGAAGAAGGATCATTAAAGCCGATGCATCCCATGCTAGAGTCGAGGACTAGTTGAATCTAATGTGCCTGCCGTGCGAGATTCAGTCGAGTCGATTTTACACCGGTGCGAGACCCAGATGTAACGTGGCCGAGTCGGGCCATGGCCTTTTCGCGCTTGAAACGTCTGTGACATGTCGGGACGGGTTGACCTCTGAGGGTCAGGTGTGAATCTGTACATATAGAGTATACACCATGCTTGCTTCATTGGTCCGGCGGAGATGTTTTGGTTAGTAGATTGGTCGTAGTGTTGTAGATTCGGGTATAAAAATAGCGTGCAATACAATAGGTAGGACCATTCCAGGTCCCAGGTATATCAAGCTTGATGACACAAACAGCTCCAAGTAGAAACACACCCCACCAGTCCTTCAACTTCCACCGACCAATTGAGCCGATCAATTGAACAAATTGAAATATCCACCCTAGTCCTAGCTCTCCTCCATAAACACCCAACCCCAACCAAAACCAGTCACCTGACCCAACCCTCCCTCCCATCCACCATTTCTCTCTACCTTGACCTCTACCCTCACCACCACCAACAAACCCATCCACCCACCCACCCCACGCCCAACCCCAATAAAAATGAAACCCCCGATCCCCTTCCCCCTCGCCCTCAACATCGGCACGGACATCGTCCACCTCCCCCGCATCGCCCGCCTCCTGACCCGTCACAACGGCACCTACCTCGCCCGCTTCACCCGCCGCATCCTGCACCCCCGCGAACAAGCCGACTTCCGCGCGCGCTTCCCGCTGTCGTCCGCCCCGTTACCTGTACACCGTCCCCAGTGCCAGGCCCAATCCCAGCCCAGGTCCCGACATTCCTCATCGCTCGAATCCCCCGAACAAATCACCCCGGACATGACCCGCTGGCTCGCGGGGCGGTTCGCCGCCAAGGAGGCCGCGCGGAAGGCGGCGCCGCGGGGCGCCGCGCAGCTTGGGTGGAAGGATGTGATTGTGCGGGTGAGTGCGGTCGATGAGGGGCGGCCGGAGGTGGTGTATTTGGATGATGCGTCTGGGGCTTCTGGGGAGGGGCATGGATGTGAGGGTGGGGGCCGGGTGGGCAAGTTGTCGATCTCGCACGATGGGGAGTACGTGGTTGCAATGGTTCTGGCGGCGGGGTAAGTTTTTCGGGTGGCTGGAATGGGGGTGGTTCTGGCGTTTGGGTGTTTTGGGATGGGTACTGTTATGGTCTTTGGGTTATGGGGGTGGAGGGGGGATATAATGGGTAATGGGTAATGGGTAATGGGTAATGGGTCTTGCAAGATGGGGATCGAAGGGGGATATGGTGTGGCTCATGGACTGTGATGTGCTAGATGGGGGGGGGTTAGATTAATGGTATCAGACTGTGGAGGTTGAAGATGAGGGCTATTAGTGTATTGCGGTATCGCATCGCAGCTATAAGTCAAGACGAGGACGGCATCAGGCTCTCGCTCTTACAGCGTTCAGCGAGGCGATGGTCATTGAGATGGATTTACGTGTACAAACATGCCGGTCCTAAAAACCCCTGTATGATCATATGCGGTAGCGCAATCATCATCATACCTAGGCAAAGCGCGTGAGAGTGAGGGAGACAGCAAGTAGCAGCGTGCTCCGGGCCCGGCTGATGATTGCTTGAATCGGGCCCCATAAAAAAGAGAGTGGGATCTCGACCTCCGCAATCCACCCCGACTATACTTTTGTACAGTCCAGTGTGCAGCGGTCAAACCACCTCGCATATACCGTATACAAGTCGAATGTTCTTCTTGGATCACATATTTAGAGAGACCACTTTTGACATCCCCACCTAGAAGTCACAACTACCCCTCCTTGCCGCGGGGTAAAGCAGTCATTGTGAGCATCATCTTCTTCATCATTTCTGTGGATCTATCAAATCCTCAAGCACCATGCCATTACCACCATAGACGAACTCCAAATTAACCCAAGCCTACAGATGCCCTTCTCCCACCACAGCCACTCGGGCCAATTCTGCCCCGGCCACGCCAAAGACTCCCTAGAGGAGATCATCCAACTAGCCATCCAGAAACGCTTCCACACCTTCTGTCTCACAGAGCACATGCCCCGACACCAGGAGGACTTCTACCCTGAAGAGGTTTGTCTGCCCCAACCCTTTCCTCCTACCCTTTGCTTCCCCATACACCCCCCTCCCCGGGTCACCAATAACTACTTATCCCCCCCCCCCCCCCCCCCCCCCCCCCGGCACCCCAAACCCCCCCCCCCCCCCCCCCCCCCCCCCCAGATCGAAGCCGGCAACACCGAAGAAGCCCACCTCGCCAACGAAAAAGCCTACTACGCCGAAGCCACCCGCCTGCGCACCAAGTACAGCACGGCCGGCATCAACATCCTGATCGGCTTCGAGATTGACTGGATCCGCCACCCGGGCTCCCTGACCCTCATCCAGCAGTCGCTGGCCGCCCACCCCTTCGACTTCTTCATGGGCTCGATCCACCACACTTGCACCGTGCCCATCGACTACGACCGCGCCATGTACGAGCAGGCCCGCGCCGCCGCCGGCGGCACCGACGAGCGTCTGTTCGCGGCCTACTTCGACGAGCAGCTGGCGATGCTGCGGCAGGTGCGGCCGCTGGTCGTCGGGCACTTCGATCTGATCCGGTTGAAGAGCGATGATCCCGACGGGAGTCTGCGGCGGTGGGGGGCGCAGCCCGAGGGAGAGGGGGTCTGGGCGAAGGTGCGCCGTAATCTGGCGTTCGTGGCGGAGTACGGGGGTCTGCTGGAGGTGAATTCGGCGGCGTTGCGGAAGGGGATGCGCGAGCCGTATCCTATGGGGGAGGTTTGTCGGGTGAGTTCGCCGGTCTTCTTTTCCGGATCAGGGACATGCTTGTCGTGGGAGTGGTGTGTAGTTGTGGGGAGATGGTGATACCCATACATCTATGGATGGAGGCTAATGCCCCGCGCTGCGCAACAGGAATTCCTCGCCCTCGGCGGCCGCTTCGTGCTCTCGGACGACAGCCACGGGCTGGACCAGGTAGGGCTGAACTACCACCGCGTGCTGCCGTGGCTCGAGGCCGTGGGCATCACGACGGTGCATTATCTGGCGTTATCAGGTGAGGAAGACGATAAAGCCGGGATCGTCGATCCGCGGTTCCCTCGCACGCGCGTACTGGGCATGTCGGTGGAGGAGATGAAGAAGCTGCCGTTTTGGGCGGCCAACGCTACTGCAGCCTGATTTGTGGTGTTTGCATGGCAAGAGCATGCAGGGGCTATGCTTTTGTGGGTGTGATACATGGAGGACTATCTGCAGGGTACTTATTTTGTTGCAGAGCACTCCGTAGAATACATCCTATCTATCAATCCATCTATCAACCTGAGACAGTTGAGTAGACTAGTCCAATCACCCAGATATCACATACAAACACATCCAAGCAAACACATTGATTGTTATTGTTAATCTCTCAGACCAATGACATCAACTAGCCCGGCCACGGCAACTGGCAACTGGCAACTGGCAACTGGCAACTGGCAACTGGCAAATGGCAAACGGCAAATGGCAAATGCGGCACAGGCGGCAGCGCTGTGAGCCCTGACAACCGTCCCGACGATCTGGCCCGTTCCACCCAATAAGAGAGGCCAAGCAAGTCGACAGGATCGAACCATAATATTCCTCTCGCTGTAGTTTACGAGTCGCCGAGCCTCCATTGTGATTGCAGAGATACAGAATCTGCAACCGCGCCAAACACAGGCAAATACAGTACAATGACCCAGACAGAAGAAAAGAAAAAAAAAAAAAGAAAAGAAAAGAAACTGCCGCGCCAAGCGAATCCCACAATAAACGCGGTCTAGATTGAGGGGCAGCATCAACATCAATCAAGATGGGAAAACAAATATATGAATTGATCTATCCAAACGCTAAACCGGGCGTTCACAAATCAAACCAACATCCACGGTGTCCATTTGATCCATACCAAACCTTAGTCTAGTCTAGTACGTACTGTAGCAACGCAACGTTCTGGATCCCATCCCAACTTTGATAAGTGATAAATTATAAGAAGTAGAAGTTCCTCCCCCCGCCGTCCGCCCCTCCCCTCCCCTCCCCTCCCCCCACTTTGGCTTTGCCTTGGGAAACCTTTAAACCAACCTAGCCTAACCTTACCTTCCTTTTTTTTTTCTCTCTTTTCCTTCTTTCCCTTTTCTCCCCTCATCAACTCCCCCAAATAACCATCAAAACAAATCAATCAAAATGGGCGTCACCAAGACCATCCTCACCCCCGGTACCTCCGAGCAGAAGCCCGTCAAGGGCGACCACGTCTCCATCCACTACACCGGCTGCCTGTACAAGGAGGGCGCCGAGCACAACATGGGCGACAAGTTGCGTTTCCCCTCCTCCCCCGCCGTCCCATTGCCGTTGCCTTGATTTTCCGTTCCGTGGCCGTAACCGCCAAGGCTCCATCTCGAGTTTCCTACAGGGAACCAGAGAGCATCTCTCTCTCTCTCTCTCTCTCTCTCCTCGCTATCTATCGTCACATGATCTTTTCCGATCTTGATTCGTTATGTCCGGAAAAGCTAGATAATAACTAACCCACCCCCCAAAAAATCAGGTTCGACAGCTCCCTCAACCCCGGCCGCGGGCCCTTCAAGGTCCAGATCGGCGTCGGCCAGGTCATCAAGGGCTGGGACGAGGGCGTCCCCACCATGAATGTTGGCGAGGAGGCCGTTCTGACGATCTCGCCGTATGTTGTCTCTCCCCTTTCCCTTGGGCCCTCGCCCTGCTGGCGGAGTTCGAGCAAGATGATCGAACCGGTCTAAGCTGACTAACTTCCCGACTGATAGTGACTACGGCTACGGAGCCCGTGGCTTCCCCGGATTGATCCCTGCCAACTCGACTCTTGTTTTGTGAGTTATCTTCCCTGAATCTTTCTTGGCATCTTTTTCGAGGAGCAGGAGGAGGGAGTTGCTGTTTTTTTTGCTTGGGGAAGGCGGAATACTATGTGGGATTGGTGCTAATCTACCCTGCCAATTTCTAGCCGGGTCAAGCTCCTCTCTATCAACTAAAGCTGGTAGTAGGGGGTGGGAAACTTCTTTACAAATCAAAAGAATCTTTCTCTTTTTTTTTTTCCTTTTTTTCTTTTTCTTACCTGCATTGGACGATCTGAATCAGGAACGTACTGTAATTCCTACTGGATAGATAATCTATGTGGTTTCGGAAGGGTACTTACTGGAGATACCTACGCAGTACGGAGTAGAGTAGAGTACTACTGACTGATTTCGAGATGAGATGTACGAGGCTCGGTATCTGTAAATCGTTTTCTTTGATAGGTCTGTCTCATCATATACTTCATACCAGGAGGAAGGTCGCTTAATTATCCCATCAGAGCATGTGTTCCACTATACCTCGTACTGTATCGTCCTGCAGCACCCCATCCATCAACAACCAGCACCATGACCAAAACTACCGCGCAATCGAATTGATATACTCAATCCCCTCCGCCCGATACGTATCCGCCTCGACATAACTCTCCGTCCGCGGCAACCGGAAGACGAAGTTGGACGGGCCGTCCGCCGGCGTATAGCGCGGCCACTGGGGGATCCCGTCGACTATCCCTCAAAAAGTCAGCACACCCCTTCTCAACCACGATACTATGGGGGACAGACCTCCATGTCCGTTCGGATCCAGATCCGTCACAAACGCCGTCCACATCCTCGCGGCCAGATTGCCCAGGGCCAAACGCGCGGGGTCGGAGCCGAGGGGGGTGATGGTTTGGTCGGGGTTGGCGAAGACGAAGGGGATCTGGATATTTAGGAATCAGTCTATCTGTAGGATAGAGGTCGTTGTTGAGGTCCCCCGGAGCAATTGCATTGGGGATAACAGGAGCTGGCTGGCCTACCTCCGCGAAATGCTGCACGCCAATCACACTCGTCTCGTTCAACGCCGCCACATCCCACCGGTACGCATACACCCCCTGCTCGTACCGCGCCATCTGCGTGCCCAGCAGCCGCCGCGGCGCGACCATGCACAGATCGCCCGCCATCGACTCGTAGCGCTTGTACTCGTACCCGCGGGCCGGCCAGGTGACGTTGCCCCAGCCGTAGGGGCAGCCCAGGGCCGAGACGTTGGGGTACAGGCCGAGCAGATGCGTGGCTTGGTCGCGGTCGAGGACCCAGCGTTTGGAGGCTGCCTCAGTTAGACATGGAGCATTTGACATAGGCGTGATAGGGTGCCCACCGATCAACTGTTCAATGCACTCCTCGTCCGTGTTCGTCCCCGTGGTGCCGAAACTCGTGCCCTCGTCCGTGTTGGTCCCGTGCAGGATGGGCACCTTGGCGAAGCGGCCCTCCGTGATGCTGATCTGGGGCTGCTCCTTGATGAAGGTGCCGTCGATGGTGCCGAACCACTCGAGCCCGTTATAGGCGAGGGGGTAGAAGGTCTCGAAGGGGACCTCGCGGAGACACTGCAGGGTATCGGAGGCGGAGGTGCAGCTGCACCGCAGCTGTCAGTAAGAGCAGGAACTGTGTCCGGGGTTTATACACGCACTTCGTCTTAGTCACAATCTGGTCATACATCGGTTGATACCAGTCCGTGCCGTTCCAGGGCGGACCGACTGCGTTGCCGGACTCCATAATAGCTGTAGCACGAATGAGCCCTGCAGAATTCTGCAGAATCATAGGACGACTCACCAGCCCTGAACAGCCCCTCATTATCCCCATCATTCGTCACCAGATGTGCCCCAACACTATAAGCACCGCTGCCCTCGCCGTCCATCAGCATCTGCACCCACCACCGAAAAAAGGACCAAAACTCACGCCGACTCCCCCCAGATCGTAATCCTATCCGGATCGCCCCCAAACGCGCGAATATTCTCTTTCACCCACCGCAAGGCCACGCGCTGATCCCGCAGCCCCAGATTCGTATTCCCGGATTCCTATCCCGCATCAGCACAGCACTCCCCTTTTCCCCCAGAAAATCCCCCCCATCCAAGGACAAACGCCGAGAAACGAACCAGAACCTCCTTCGAGTCCAGAAACCCAAACGCCGCGACCCGATAGTTGATCGACACGCCAATCACCGGTTTGTCGTTCAGCGCGCCTTGATGCAGGATGTAGCTCATGTTATACCTGCAGTTCATCATCAGTCAGCCGCCGACCTGCCAACCAACAACAAGCCAGTTGCCCTGTCGCATGGGTTTCCCCCCCCCCCCCCCCCCCCCCAACTCCCCAAGAAGGAAAAGGCGAAACAAACCGCGGATCACTCGTCGCCCCCTGTATCCACCCACCTCCAAAGATCCACACCATGACGGGGAGCAATTCCCCCGTCGTCTCGGTAGTACCGACAGAAGCGGCCGGCCGAATCACATTCAGATTCATGCAGTCCTCGCTCAGACGCGTCCACCCGGCGGCCACGAGGGTGGTCTCGTCGCTGCCGTAGCCGGGGCAGTCGTTGCCGTACTGCGTGGCGTTGTAGTAGACTGTCCCGGTCTGCGTCTGCACATCATCCTCGCTGGAGGAGGGGGAGGTGGTGGTGGAGTTCGAAGAAGTGGCCGTGTCACTGTCGCTGTCACTCGCGCGGTAGCGGGTCTTGAGCGTGGCTGGGGTGAAGCGCGTGGGCTGGTCGGCGTATTTGATGCCGAGGAAGAGGTCCTGGGAGAATTCGGGGAGGGAGCGGCCGATGAAGATTGTGGAGCAGGAGGGGTCTTGAGGGTTAGAGGGGAGGGTTACGGTGGGTGGGGAGGAAGACGCAATAGAAGAGGAAGCAGTTGCAGTAGGAGTAAAAAAAGAAGATGGGGAAGGACTGTTGGGGAGCGCAGATGATGATGTTGATGATGATGCAACAAGTAGAAGAGTGGTGAGGGTTGGGAGCCAATGGGTCACGGGGATGGTTAGACGGGCCATTGTCATGTCCCTCAACTTTGTCGTTTCTCTCTCTCTCTCTTGCTGTCTTGCTGTCTTGCTGTCCCCGCAAGGCACTCGAGCTACTTTATAAGTGCTACAATCGAGCTATTGAATCATCACGTTAGTCGATGGTAGAGACCAAGGCCCCAAGGCCCCTCTCTACTCACGATACACCATACCCAGCCTGCTATCCACCCACTCCATACTCCATACTCCATACTACATCCTACATCCTACATACTTTCTCCTAAGTTCAAGCTTAACCTGCAGCAACTTGACACATCCGGTAGTCTCCTCCGAAACCATGCTGGATCTCCCTCCATCGTTGCCACGAATCACACCGCAATCGGAGATGAAAACTCCATGTCCGACAAGGACACTCATAGGTGGAACCATGCCCAGCCCTAGTCCGCGGCAGCTCCGACTCTAGTGCGGAGACATTTTCCCACGCGTGATGCAGCAATAATGAATAATGACATGGGTGTCATTCCTGCTGCAAGAAGAAAAGAGGAGAAGCGACTTGGCATCCATCTTGGCTCTCTCTCATCCCTGTTTCCCGGTGGGTCTGCTACAGCATATGCACGCTTCAAAATTCAAGTATAAACATCATATTGGGAATCAAGCCGAAGTCCGGCCGATTTCGGACTCTAGTAGATACGGACGGGAAATATACATCTGTACATATAAACAACTCAGTCAAAAACAAATTGAGACACAAAAAGTGGCTGGGGTAGTAGTAAAGTATAGATGGCGTTATTCGTCACGATATACCTGCCATACCCCCCGGCCATACAGACAACAGTGACGCTCCCCAAAGGGAGACGGAGAAGAGAAAGGGCGGGCGAGTATGACGATGATGGAAGCAGGCCTTCGCCATCACCACCAGGAGGGTAAGAAAGGTATATGATAAAACACAAAGCACAAACATATGGGGAATAAGAAGAAAAGATTAGATGAGAGAGTTAATAAATGACAAGCGGATCATCCCAAGGAATCGCTCTCAACGGTCCTCCCGACCGGCTTTTTCCTGTCTCTGTTTTCTTCTCCGTGTTTCTTTCTTTTGGTCTTATTTCCCCAGTCTATCATGGAACACACTTCGCAACAAAAACAAATCGACCAGAGACCTTGGTCAGTTCCATCCAAGTGAATTTTCAGCCATGACAGGCGCACTGATCATTTGTGTCCGACCAGTGCCACGGCTGTTCTGGCTGCCACGGGAAATGCGGCCCCCGGCAGCAAGGGCTGCGGATCCACGGCCCTCGCTCATCTGATCCACGGCCGAGGGGCTGCGCTGGTGCAGTTGACGCTTCTTGCGATACCGACGAGCCACCCAGAACATACCAGCTCCATAGGCGGCAGCACCGGCAACAGCTCCGACACCAATGCCAACGGCGCTGGCCTTGGTGGTGCTGCTGCTGCTCGTGCCGGCATCCGACTGATCATATCCTCCGTCATCGCTACCCTTGTTGCTGCCGGATCCGCTGCTCCCAGATGAGCCGCCACCAGACGAGGATCCGGCGCTAACAACCAGGGGAATCGAGGGATCGATCATCGACATCAATGTCTTGACAGTCTGATTGGGCTGCTCATACAGTTTGGAAATCGGGTTGTGAAGCATTTGCGACAGGGTGTCCACGTCACCCGATGGGATGTAAGCCAGAGCGACAGTGGCGATGTACCCAGTGCTGGCCGAGTTGTCGTACGGCTGAATGTCGTACATCACGACATCGCTACCATTGGCCGACAGGGCGTACTCAAGACCCTGGGGAACATACGTGAAGATCTGCGACGAAGACAAGGGAGTCGTGGCCACGAAGCTGTACCGAAGCTTGCCATTGAAGCCGATTTGGATCAACGTTGAGTTCTTGGGTTCGTTGGGAATGCCCCCAGCCGGAGAGATCGAGCCAGGAAGCTGCGCAGCAGCTGTCGTGGTGGTGGCAGCTTTGGTGACAGTTCCCGTGGGCTCAGTCGTAGTAGTCGTGGTTCCGACAATGAGAATGCTGGATGGCATCCAATCATCCGCGTTCGCTGTGCTGGATGTGGGGGCCTGCACAGTGGTGGTCTCAGCAACAGCCTTGGTGGTGGTTGGCTGCTCAGTGGTCAAGGGAGTCGTAGCACTGGTGCTGGTGCTGGTGCTAGAGTACACGGAGGGAGCGACAGTCGGAACAACAGTGGGTACGACAGTCGGGGCCGCAGAGACGGAACCCGAAGCTTCCGTGGTCTTGGTGGCGATCAGAGCAGTTGAAGTGGCAGACTCGGAAGCGGTTCCAGATGGAGATCCCGACTCGAATGTGGACTCAGAAGCAGAGATGGCTGTAGAAGCTGCACCAGAGGTACTGTCAGAGAGGGTTGGCACAATAGCAGCACTGGTGGGAGCGATACTGCCACTGATAGCAGGGGTCGAGGCCCCAGGTGCGAAGCTCTGAGTTTCACTGGAGGGAGCGATGAGGGCCGTGGATGTGGTGGCAGTGGGTCCTAGGCCAGTTGTAACGCTTGAGGCATCAGAAGTAGCCCCTGGAGCCGTGCTACTCAAGCCCACAGCACCGCTGGTCGGAACGATGGAAGCGCCGGATGTCAGGTCCAAGCCGGTACTGCTAAGACCCACAGCACCGCTGGTGGGGACGGCAGAGGCCACCGATGTCAGATCCGTTGCCGTGCTGAGCAGCGCAGGGATAGGAATCCCAGATGACCCCAACAAAGAAGTGGGAGTGACCAACGGAACACTGACAGGGATGGTGGGCAAGCTCATGCTCAAACTGAGGAGCGCTGGCTCCGCGGAAGCGCTGGCACTCGTGGCAGTTACCGAGCTCGATCCAGCGACGACAACTGGCGCAGATGCCGTGGCCGAGTCAGAGGCAGCAGGAGCAGACGTAGTGACGGCACCAGAGGCGGCAGATTCAGACGAAATGACCAAGCCAGGAACCGAGCTGGAGGGGGCAGCCGAAGCGGACAGGAAGGCAGATTCGGTAGCAGGGATCGAGCCCGAAACAGCGGTGGATCCAGACATGGTCGATGCAGCCGCCGGAGCTGAGCCAGACACAGTCGCGGAACCAGAAGAGATGGCGGATTCGGAAGCAATCACCGAGCCGGAAACAGTCGTCGAGCCCGCCAAAGCGGTCGAACCGGGGGCAACGGCAGATTCAGAGGCAGTGACAGAGCCTGACGCGGTGGGAACGGGTGCAGTAGCCGAGCCAGATGCAGTAGCTGACGACGGCACTTCAGTAGAAGTGGTGCCTGACAACAGGTTCGACAGGATACCCACCAGACCCGATGCGCCAGGAGTAGTCGTAGAGGCGGCGTCCTGAGATGCGGAGATGATGGCCTTGGAAGAGGCTGCCTCAGTAGTCTGAGCAGCATTGCTGGTGGCAGTGGAAGCTTGGCTGGAAGCGGTCTGAGAAGCAGAGTTGGATGCCAGAGAGGAGGCTTGAGTGGCAGTGGCCTCAACAGAGCTCTGGACTGCGGAGCTCTGGGTAGTAGAGGGCGCAACAGTTGAGCTTCCAGCAACAGAGCTCTCGGCTGAAGAACTCTGGCTCGAAATAGTGCCAACCACTCCAGAGCTTGCCACGGGGTTGGTAGAAGCCTGAGAAGATGAGCTCTGAGTAGCAGAAGGGGACGCAGTCGAGCTCTCCGTGGCAGAGCTCTCGGTAGAAGAGCTCTGGCTTGAAATGAGGCCAATCACACCAGCAGAGCTTGCCACGGGAGTAGATGTGACGGAACTCTGGGCAGCGGAAGACTGGACAGACGAGCTCTCAGTGGTAGAGGGAGAAACAGTTGAGCTTCTAGTAGATGTCTCGGTAGAACTTTGGCTGGAGAGAAGGCCAACAACACCAGCAGAGCTTGCGGCAGGAGTCGAGGTGGCAGAACTCTGGGAACCAGTACTTTGGACAGCCGAGCTATGGGTAGCAGAGGGAGACACCGTAGAACCCTCAGCGGTAGAGCTCTCAGTTGCAGAGCTCTGGCTCGAGATAACGCCGATAATCCCCACAGAGCTTGCAGCGGGGGTAGAAGTGGCAGAACTCTGAGATGCAGGAGTCTGAACAGCTGAGGTAGCTGAGGGAGATGCCGTAGAACTCTCGCTGGCAGAGCTCTCGGTGGAAGAAGTCTGACTCGAAAGAACGCCAATAATCCCGACGGAACTTCCAGGAGTAGAGGTGCTGGACTCTGGGACCACCACAGCAGAGCTAGCCGTGGCAGCGCTGTTACCAACGCTGGTGGGAGCGGTTGTGGAGCCCGCGAGCAAGCTTGATACAAAGCTCTCAAGCGAGCCGCCAAGGGAATCGCCGGTAGTGGTAGTCGCAGCAGCAACGGCCGAAGACGAACTATCGACCTTTGCAGCAGACTCGGACGTAGAGGATGGCTTGTCGGAAGTTGTGGTGTCCACTTTGACGGCGGACTCGGATGTAGATGACTTGACAGGCGTGGTTGTGTCTACCTTCACGGCGGATTTCGAAGTGGATGACTTCTCAGACGTGGTAGTGTCGACCTTCGCGGCGGATTTCGAAGTGGATGACTTCTCAGACGTGGTAGTGTCGACCTTCGCGGCAGACTCCGATGTAGCTGATGCGACAGGGCTGGTGGTGTCGGCTCGCACCGCAGATTGGGACGTAGTGGTCTCACTTGCGGTAGTCGAGCTTGTTGTGCTGACGCTAGCAGTCGTGGTAGCTGATGCAGGAACAACTGGCGGGGGAGACGCCTTCTCCGCAGTCTTTGCTGTCGCACTATAGCTCGTTGAAGCCCCAGGGATATACGGTTGCGTACCGACGATGGTGTGCGTTACGCCGTACGCGTCCACTGAGAGGGTTACTGGCACAACCACCACCACAGGGGCGCCTTCAACAGATACGGTGCTGGAATCTGCCGCATCTGTCGTCGAGCTAGCGACGCTCGTCTCCACCGTTGATGTGGCAGAGGTGGTAGCTGGGGACGCGGTCGCGGACGAGCTCACTGCGCGACCCTCAAGGTAGTGCCGAGCCCGCAAGTCTTGCGCCTCGGTTGCGCTCTCGGCTGCGGTGATATCCAGACCACTCAGCGTCAAAAGCGCGAGCAGCAGGGATCTTGTCGGAGAGACCATGTTGAAATTGAAAGGAGCGTGGGTGGATAACAAGCGTAAAAAAAGAGCGATTTAAGGGTCTCGAGGACCGTATCAATGCGGAGGGAACGGACAGAGCGAGGACCCGATGGAAAATGCAGCCTCCAAACCCGGTTACAAGGGTGTTCAAGCGTTGATACCGAATGTTAATCGTTGATATCGCAGATACATCGATTCGGTGGCTGGCGGCGACAAGCGATACTTGAACTGTACGGGACTATCCTTTTTGACCTTTCTGCAGTTCACTCCTCCACTTTCCAATCGTCAAGACCAGGCGGCTTTCGGCAATTAACGGGCGTTGATGATGTCGTAATTGGTATCTGCAGATGGCTGGGACGCAGTCGCAACTCCTGCCAAGATTGTTCAGGTACGAGGACGGCTTGATCAGCAGGAACACGGCAAATTCTCCGATGTACTTTCGCAAACGAGCCGGGACTGGTGGATTGTGCGGAAATAGTGGCAGTTCGTGATAAACAAAAGCGGTCTCAAGGAGCGGCAGGGGGTGTGGTCGGACGAAACGAACAACCAACAAATCCCCTCAAGAGTCTCGCGACAGACAAGACGATAACGAATGTGGATGCGGCAAGGAGCGAGCGACAAGAGAAATCTAAATCAGAGTAGAGAAGTAAGAAACGCGATCGTTGGAGGGATAGGTGGAAGATGTTGGAGGTGGTGGGAGGTGGTGGCAGGCGGTGATTGATTGTATGGGATTGATGGTGGAGTTGTTTGGGTTCGACGGGGCGGCGGTGGATTGGTCTGTTTGGTGGTACCTGAATCGGCGCGCGCGACCGTGAGAGGAGATGAGAAGAAGAGGAGGGGTGGGTTAGGGATGAAGGAGGAGGGGGTGGGAAGATGCAAGGAGCAGGGAGGAGAGTCCAAATGAGAGAGAGAGAAAGAGTGAGGAGGGTAAGACGGGCGATGGATTGTCAATGGCAAAAGCAGCCCCCAACCCTCCTGCCTTCCTTCGTAGACGGCAGGAGAGAACGTACCGAGATGGTGACTACGTCAACGCAGGCATCGACAATAGCCGAGCATGAAGATTGGAAGGAGGGAAAAACAGAACTGAACTGAGAGAGTGTGAGTGAGAGAGAGTGAGCGAGAAGGGGGGGGGTAAAGAGAAAGTAAAGTAATGAATGACGGGGGGTTTGGTAAAGAAAATCAAATCAAATCAAAAAGACACAACTAATCGATACACGGAATGGAAGTAAATGAGTGAAAGGAAAAAGAGGAGAAAGAGAAGGGGAGATTAATTTGGAGGAGGCGGTTTAGTCTCGTTGGGGCCCGTCCGTGTCATCGTCTCGTCTGGAGACTTTGAGTGCTACTGTAAAAGGGGGCCCGAGATGAAAGAAAGCCCAGAAAAAAAACAGCCGGCTGTGGAAATAAGCCAAGTGTTGCTCAATCCGCCTCGTCTTATCCGCACGCACTCGGCACAAAAGTGGGACACTCTCCCAGATTCCCCACCCGGCGATTGTTACCGGGCTGGCTCCAGTCATTCAATTGAATGACGACGATTTCCGCGTATTCTAGCCTCTAGCCTCTTTCCTCCACATCGTGCCTGTCGGTCGGTCTGTTTGTTTTCACCGTTGTTCACCGTTGTTCACCGTTGTTCACCGTTGCCCACCACCGGTCGCGTTACGCATCAAATGTTCTCGACCCTATTCAGCGACTCCAGTATATGGAGTACTATTCCCGGTTCGACCCCATGTCTAAATCTACCTCAAGGTGTCAATGAGGGACGCCCATCTGCAGCAGATGCAGCAATTTACTGCAATCATATCCAGCTGACACCAGCAGGGCCACTAGTGAACTGACTATAGCACTCGGACTAATTGGTCCTTCTCCGCCCTCCTGTATGTACTCTACGCTGCTCCGTGGCTGCTGCAGACGGCCCTTTTTTGCTTCGCATGCCACTGAGACGTGCATCGACTGTCAAGATAGTCGGCAATCCTCGGTCGAAAAGCACACAGAGGTGGATGGGCTCTCGACTTTCGGATACGCTTCTCCAGCATTGACTTTGAATCGCCAAAGTAGGGTCTGCCAGATCGACCTCGACATAGGACAACGGCGACAAGCCTGCACCGAGGGCGGTGCAATTGACCAGATGCCGGACGCCTGGTCACAGTCTATTATCTCGATGACAGTGACCTAGACAGACGAGGGGGGATGCTCTTCATATGCAAGCGATTGTTCTGGTCGACATTGTCCTGTACCACCGCAGAGTGCCCAGCAGCAAGAGGGTGCAGCAAAGGGAGAAAACCACGCAAGCCCTCCAGAACACGGATTCCAGCCGACTGCCACTCGTCCAAAGTACCGTACCCATTCAAACGATGCTAGGCCAGAGCCAGCCCAGAATATGATGATTAAAGACAGGTTACTGAACGGCTGGGCTGGAGCCATTGATCTCTTGAATGGATTTGCGATCGGACCGGGTAATAATACGGTATGTTGATACAGGTCAAGGAAGGCACAGCATGGCCGGGGGGGAAGGCTTGGAGGCTTCAGTCTGTAAGGTGATACAGAACAGTGGCCGGTGAGAAGCGCAGGAACAAGTGCCGATCGACGGTGGTACAGTGCCCATCGTAATTCCCGCCTCTTTGCACGCCAACCTTGTCTGCAAAGGGCATGTTTCCGTCAAGGTTCGGACCATCACAAGGCCTAGACTGACGGCGTGGGTGGCTCTACTTTTCTGGGAAGGTAAAAAAAAGTGGGTAGGTTGGTTCCTGGCCGTGGCTGTGGGGATTGCCCCGGTGCGTGCAGATAAGTGGTCTGGGAAACAATGCAGCCACTCACTCATTCACCCGCCCAGTCGCCCACATACTTACTGGCCTGTCCGTCTCGGTGGACAGTTGTTTCATGAATTCTTGCCCCCAGGAAGGGTCTTCCGGCCACTTGCCTAGTCGAAGGACTGGTTGGGTTGGTTTTTATGGTTCGTCTCCGCCAGCAGAGCAGTTCTTCCCACCAGTCCCCTACAAGCAGGCGCGAAGGATGGAATTATTCTTGGATCTGCCTACACGGAGACAAGCTGCTTTGGCTTCAAGTTGCCCCCCCGTCTTTGAGGTCGTACATTGTAGGCAGTGCCTGGAATCTAACTGGATCTGGTTAAGCGGATAGTCACCCAAGAATCGGACGGCTGTCTCACCATCTCCTCTCATCTTTGGTAGAACTACCCCGTTGAGTCAAGACAGGAGTCTGTTCATTCGAGTCTAGGAGAGATTTGGCACGGTGTCCGAGATCGAGTTGCGCTTCCTCTATAATGTGGCATGCATATAGGTAGCTACCTAGTACCTTAAAGGTGTACTACAGGCTACTGAATACTGGGAACCTAGGAAGATCATTCTTCCATCCACTAGGCTAGCAACTGGACTATTGTTCATTTCAATAGACCCGGGGGAAGTTTCCCTTGGCCTTGCCCGTCAGGCTCCTTTCTTCCTGCCTCTCTTTTCCGGCCAATCCACCCACGTGTACTCCGTACTTGTGCCAGGAACGCTTACCGTAAGCGATGCCACTAGAGTTCTACTTTCGTCCCTGAGTCCATCTCCATCAAGAGCAGAACACCAGAGTCAATTCTCCTCTCGCGTTCCTGTGCGCATGAATCGTGATCCACATTTTTCCGCCCTGACATGGCAGGAATGTTTGGATCGTGCGATGGTCCAGTCAGAAGACTCCCCCTGGGGCCATCATCAGGGCTGAAACCACCGTCATTTCCATCCCTACGGCCTCTCTGCATCGCAGCATTCCAGCGGACTGGGGATCGGTGAGACCTGCGTCCGACTGACAATGCCAATAGGGATCCATCAATTCCTCAACGGACGGCCAGGGATCCGGGAAGGTTTGTCGCTCGCTTCCGTGAAGCATGGCAGAGACGGATAATAATAGGGGCCAGAAAGTCTCTATTCCTCCCCCAGTTGCAGATCATCGGCGCGTCCAAGCTCGGATAAGGTAGATGAAGACTATATAACTCCTCTCAGGAACTCGGATCGCCGTGCAACCCCAGTCGAGGACCATGGACTGATGACCGACTAGAGAGTCGGTGGTGACTACATACTGACTAGTCAGGGGAGCTTTTGTGGCACCATCTTTGTTCAACCACCGTTGCTATTTTTATGTGTCACGCCTGACTCCTGGGGAAGAGAAAGAGGTTAAACACCTTCGGTTGACGACGGACGAACTTACCAACTCGGTTGCTGAGCTCCGTCCAGCTTATCGCAAGCATCTTCGCTCGCCCTTGCTAAAGATTCCTGCAAAAACACAGCTAGGTGGTCGTTGCCCTCAAATCCGCCGATGCGACCCTGTGGGAAGCCAACCATGGACGGGACGAAATGCCATTCAGCGCGGCCCAAGGAAAGTTGAGACGGAAGTCACGGAACTATTCCTGTTCCTGAACAAATGAAACCCACCCGCCGTGTTACTCCACCTCTGCCCACAATGCGTCTCTCGCATTGGCTGGGAACTCCCCTCCTTCTGGCGCGTGCAGTGCCCTTTTCCGTCCTAGTCGCTTTCCCGGCAGCACGGGTGATGGTATCAAAAATTCGCATGTCTACTCCGTATACCTACCACCTAACTTGGACTACTCGATATGCGAACACTGACTGGTTATCAATCGACATCTTAGATCGCCTCTGTATCTGGATTGAGCATACTCTTACTTAGACTATGGGGCAACAAGACCACACCTTTCCACGGCATGGAAGTACATGTACACACTACCGGCTCGACAGGACTCCCTGCGGTTTCTTTGTCTCTTTCGATCAGTGAGCGAAACATGGTTTCCCTAATTCTGTCCACAGTCTACACCGAGAGTTCTTTGATCTCTCGCCTGTGGCGTATCATTTACCATTACGTGCTCGGAATAGTGCAGCATAAAGCATCCCTCATGAGGCTTGGCTAAAGTGCTCTCAAAAAGCAAGAGACAAAATTGGAGCCTTGCCACTCTTGATTATCCTCTGTCGGCTCACGGCAGTCGGCCGGAGTCAGCAAGAGCAACACTCAGACCAGAAACAGGAAGAATGGTGGCTACGGTAGCCACGGGTTCGTGGCTCCGGGACCCATTAGACCTCTATGCTCTGGCATCGATACTCTGCCAGATACGATGAGTGAAGATGCACTAACTGATGATCTTCTGAGGTCCATCCCTTACAACGCAATCGAACGACTAAGGAAGTAATACCTGTTGTCACGCAGCAATCCAGAGACAGCACACTGCCCACTTGACAGAGTCAACTTGACTACATCTAGGGCAGCAGAGCGAATCCAGCAAGAGGGCAAGCTCCGCAAACTCTCCGGGATTAAGGTTTGACACGCGCTGTCTCAACAATGGTCTTTCAGGTACACACACAGACACACACTACTAAGAATAGTCCACCACGGAGCCATGTAAGCTTTGCTGGGTGGTGTAAAATCTTGATTTTCTCGATCTGATTTTCCAGACAACACAACCCTCATTGGCACCGCAGCCACAAAGCCATGCTCATATATGAGGTACTGTACCGTACCACAATCAAAGATCATTTTTACTTAGCTTGTAGAATGCACAGTATAGTACATCGCCAACCCTCTCCCTCCGACCCAGACGTCAGTATATAAGACACCACACCCAGCACAAAAGCTATACTCCAACCCCTCAAGTCAGGTAGATTCACAACTTCGCCCCCCTCCTCGGCGAAGAAGAAGAAGAAGAAGAAGGAGAAGAGCCATCCCTCACCACCGCCGAACACTCAATCTCCACATCCGTCCCCATCGGCAACGACTTCACCGCCACGCACGTCCGCGCCTAGACCTTGTATCAGCACATACACCTACAATCACTCCCCAACCCACCCAATTAAACAAAGCAGAGGATAAAACTCACAGGCTTGACCCTCCCCTCCCCCCCAAAAACCCCCACATAAACCTCATTCACCGCCCCGAAATCCCCCATATCCGTGAGGAAGATATTCACCTTGACGACATCGTCGAGGCTGGAGCCCGCCGCCTCGAGGACGGCGCTGAGGTTGCGGAGGATTTGTTTCTGTTCGCGGTTAGCACGCTGTTGTACAAGAAGGTGCGATTGGGCTTTGGTTTTGGCGGTGTGTTTTGAGTTTTTGGGGGGGGATGCAGCTTGGCCACCGGGATAGCACTATCCGGGGGTAAGGATTATAGGTAGGCAGTGGGTGCAGCACTACAGGCTCAGGCTCAGGCTCAGGACAAGGAATGTGGGGGACGTACAGCGCGCGCCTGCACCGACCCCTGCACGATCTCCCCGGTGGCGGGGTCGACGCCGATTTGGCCAGAGCAGTGGACGGTGTTGTTGGCGACGATGGCTTGGGAGAGGAAGGGGGGTGGGGTGGGGGCGGTAGGGGTGTGGATTGCACGGCGGGTGGGGTGCCACATTTCCGGTTGTTTGGGGTATACTGAACTGCAGAGGGGGGTGGTGAGACGGAGGATAGAATTAAGGGGCTCTTGTTTGAATGCTGTGGTTTGATGCACTGGCTGTAGGTGAGTGAGTGCGGAGATGGGGGGTTATATGTACTGTGGTGTGCTGTACTTCTGTAGTGGCTTGGCTTGGCTGGCGGGTGAGGAGGCGGTGATAAGCGATAAGATAAGGGATCTACAGTACTTAGCTTATCATATCATTGGAGGGGGCATGAGAGTGTCGACGATTGTTGATGAGAGTGTGGGCATTCTCTTAAGTTTGAATGTTTCTTGCATTTAATTTGTATAAGTGGATGTTTTGGAGTCAGGAGTGTGTGTGGTTGCTGGTTGTCTACACCATTGAGTTGCACCAGTGGTGGTGGTGGGGAGTACTATATATTTGTCGGGTTGTGTCTCTAGAAATACAAGGAAAAGCTTCGGCTGCAGCGTACACATCATAAGCTATCATTCAATTCCCATCAGCAATGACTAGACTGTTAGGCAGAACATATGCGTAAAGAATAAGAAATAGCTCGATTTCAAGCGCCAGTTTACTCAGATATCCGCATGTCAGGGTTGAAGTATCCGGCAGCGCTACATCCGCTTCAGACTAGACCAACAATAAAAGCAGCAGCTAGGTAGGTATAAACCACACAAGGAGCCATTAGAATATGAGTGCAGCTGAATACAGCTCACCAGCAAAGAACCAACAGCGCAAAGCTTTGCCTCCGCCTGATAGTGTGATTCACCGGTGCACCCAGCAGAACACCACAGCACACGCACCAGCAAAGCGTGTACCCAGACGACAACGTAACCTCATCGCCGCGGCGATTGCCATGTCTCGCAGAAATTTCCTTCACCTGGCCAGAAGAGCGTGTTTCTTTATCTTTATCTTTTTCTTCCTCCTCTTCCTCTTCCTCTGCCCCTCACCTCTCTTCTCTTGCTCTTTCACCCTCACAAACAATGGCAGAGAACGAAAAGCCTCCCCCTCATCCCTTGTCAAATACATCCGTGAGAAACATGGCGCAGCCATCCAACACCACTCCAGTCCCAGATCCCATGCCTGTCAATCTTCCAGGCCACTATGTGGTCGAGCATCGCAGGACTTTCTTCTGCGTGGAGCTGAACCATGACGAGGCGGACCTCATCCCCCGGCGCTACCTCGAAGCTGCGGAGAAATCCAGTAAGTCCCTCTTTCTGTTACCTGACCGATGATTGCTGAATGATGATTCAGATGATTATAGAATCTCTCCATGGATCATGCATGCCTTCCGAACTGAGAAGGGGGTCATCGAATTCGCGAAATGGAGCCCATCGGACTCGCGATTCCGCACGACCTTCGAGAGCTTAGTTGAAAATCCTTGTCTCAAAGAGGGTCTGTTTGCCGGTGGGTACGAGGCCACAGGGCTGCCTACTGACAATCGGCCCCTGGACGAGACCGAGGCTCGGCGCTTCGCCCGGATTGTGAGGCTGGAGCAGCGTGCCATTGTCTCCTTCCTGCAGGATATCCTGAAGGGTGCCTCGACTGCTCACAGAACCCCTGATGGAAATTCCAAGCTGTCTCTGACGTATGTATCACCCTGATTTCCCCGTGACCTTGGTCTGTCGCGAGTGAGCGAAGACACAAGAGAAAACAACAGGCATGTGACTGATAGAAACACAGCCCTAGGTACCGTCGCAAGCGCATTGCCTATTTCATGAACAGCATGAGCAGAAGGAGGGCAACCCATACTGGGCCTGAAACATACGCTTTCCTGACAGTGGATCACCATCCGAACGAACGCGTCTTTAGCCGTAATGTGGTTCCTATCACAGTGGTAAGCATAGCTTTTGATTGCTCCCAACCGTTACCCCCACCCCAAGCTCCCCTCACACCCTTGCCTACAACTAACCCAACACTCACAGACCGACACCCCCCACATCACCGTCCCGGCCCACTTTCAAAAGTGCGTGGAGATCCTCATCGGCCAATTCTGCTACCAGATGCGCGACGTATCCAACAACATCTTCAGCCTCGCGGACCAAGAAGCGTACCTCCTCCACCTGCACGGGTCGCACCTGCACCTGCTCCGCCTGGTCGCGCCGGGATTCAAGACGTCGCAGATCCGCTCGCACGCGCACGAAGGCTTCGTCAACGGGGAAACGCACACCTCGCTGCCGCTCAACTTCGCCGAGCATCTCGCCGTGAGTCTCCTCGACGACTCGGACGGCGAGCTCAGCGCGCTGCGCACGCGCCTCGAGCGACGGTACATCCGCAAGGTCCTGGAGCAAGTCAAGTGGTTCCGCCTGAACCGCGGCGCCGACACCGAGGGCACCATCGAGCAGGCCCTCAACCAGGATTGCAGGGTGTTCCAGGTCCTCGTGAGTCCAGAATATGACCTGTGGACCTGGGAGGGGTTCCGCGGGGCTGTGCGTCTGGTCTCCGGGCTGTGTCGGTACTTGATGAGTGGCGCGGCGCGGGTCGGCGCGGTGCAGAAGTTGTTCTGGCTGTGGCCTAAGAAGGTGGATGATGGGGATGATTATGATGAGAGGGAGTTTGACTGGTTCTGGGGATATAATTGGGGCATGGAAGTGGATGAGGAAGAGGAAGATGAAACCGAGGCGAGTCTCGATTCCGCGGACCCGGATCCGGATTATGAGAATCTCGACGACTATGAGACGGAGCTGGGAGCCGAGCAGGAGGTTGACATCGCTGCGCATGGAAGTGAGGATGATGAGGACAACGAGATGAGTGGAGAACAGGATGCAGACACTGAGTAAGTGCAGTAGCCTTGCAGCCTTGTTGGTGCAGTCAACTCAAACAGATGAGCACTGTTGGTTCTTGTCGATAACAGCATTGCACAGTTACCGTGCTCAAGATGCACGTTGATTATCTTGCATGGTATGAAGAATTGGCACGGTGCTCTGACAAAAATTGGGAGGAACTGGGCATGTGTCTTTTGAGCAGATGCACCATCAAGATTTTGCTTGTGTCCGCTCAGGAACTTCCTTACTTATCGTGATGTTGGAGTAACTAGGAATTGGAAAAACTGGGGCTGGTTTGATGTAGGAGGCAATCTGTATTTTACATTGAGGGGAGATAAGTTCAATTTGAACATCATATGTGGGCCGCCCGACTGGCTCCAGAATCAAGTAGACATTCGACTAGGCAATCATTCCCGATGGCGGCGTTCAGACTCGAATGCTGTAAAGGCATCGATTCCACGCCCATCCTCTCCACCAGTGCGGAAATACTCGGTCACAACGCATAGTGCATAGCAAGTACCGGCAGTAGCCACGCAACCAAGAAGCATTCTGCGGAGGATTTTTGCGGATTTACTTCCTTGCGAGGCCTTTTCTCCAGTCTCAGCTGGGGTGCTTTGTGATCCTTGAAGTACCATGTTAGGGTCTAATGCGCGCTGCTGCTGGTTGTCAAATGATGATGAAGACAGTCCAGTGCCCTTCTTAGAGCAGGCATTGGTTCCTTCGATATGCCCAAGGGAACCTCGTGTCTTTCTGAAGACGAGAACATCCCCGCCGCCAGAGACAATCTCGTACCCATCATTATTCAGCTTTTCAAAGTACGGTAGGAACTTTGCCGGGTTATTCAGGCGATTCAGTATCTCGGCAGGGTGAGAAATCTCATCTGGCGCATGAAAAGATGAGCTTGTTTCTGCCTCGGTTACACAAAGAGCAATGGGATCAAATGCGAGCACGCGATACGTCTCGGTATTTACCTGACCGAAGAGGCTGTGCGGAACAGTTGAAGGTGGATTCGGAGACGGCGTAGTCCCCTGTACCTCATTCAAAGCGAGTCGATCCGAAGTGTTTGCTGTATCTGAGGCCACATCTCGAAGCTTGTCCGGGACTGCCACGTCGTCTGTTGTGGATGAAAGGCCTTGGTCGGTTGCCTCCTGAAAACATTCAATGCGCGGGTCAATGCTTGCATCAACTTGGCAAGTAGTGTTACTTGAGGTCTCCAACATTTCATTCAACTCATTCGAGTCTTGTGACGCGCGAGCATCGAGATCTGGCTCCTTCCTCAAGTACGAGGCACGGATATCGCTTGCACTCAAAGACTCTAGCTCTTCTTCTTCTTCCTTTTCCCGACGTGCATCCTGTAATTTTCCCGAGTCATCTACCACCTGGTCCAGCCTAGCGAAGTCCGAAGAGGCAAGCTTGTCATTAGCAACCAAGTCGTCCGCATTGAGGGTCCGTATGTGATCTTCTGGAAGTGGTTGTGGTTGTGTGACTACTTGGTGCTCATCGTGTCTTAGGAATGGCTTGATCGAATCGCTTTCCAGGAATTTGGACAGGCTCTCATGTTGGGCTGACTCTAGTGCAGCTCTTTCTGTAGTGCTACCAGTCGCTTCTAGTGAGGCTGAAGAGCACTCCTCGGAAGGGTTGATTTGATTGGTAGAATCAGGCTGGGTAGTATCCGAGTCGACACAAGATCGAGACTGCTGCGATTGATCTTTCACGACCGTCGTTGATACAACGTCTGTCGCCAAGTCATCATTAAGACTTCCCTGATTAGAAGCGTCCCGAGAGCCAGACTCCACCGCATCCCGCTTCATAGGAGACATATAGCCGGTGGTCTCTGAGGCGGAGGTAGTGTCCGCGGCTGAGAGAACTGGATTTATCCCACCTTCACCTTTCTCAGCAACCTCCGGATTCTTGGCTTCTTTAGGAATCATACGACCACTAATAGGGTCGAACTCGTATCTCGTGACATTTTTCTTTGTGTGAATCACAACCGGGCCTCGTAGCTTGCCTGAATCGGTCGACTGGGCTTTCTTGGTTGTATCCGAGGCGTTCTCAGACTTTGCTGTGGTCGTCATGGTACGCGGCGTCCCATGGGCTGTGTCCGCATGGGCTGTGTCCGCATGGGCCGTGTCCGCAGACTTGTCACCGAGACCAAAAAGCGCACGACATAGGGATGTGAAAGTTTTGTCGAATTTCTCAAAAGACTTGAACGGCTCAAGTCTCCTTCCAAATATGGCTCCGTAAGGGTCTTTTTCAATTGCCTGCTTGATGTGATCCATCGTGCGACGAGTACGGTCCACCTCCATTTGCCAAAAGTCCTTGTGCAAGGCTGGATGCCCAGATGTCTTTTCAATCTTGTGAGAAGGCAAGCTCGAGCTCCAGGTATGGCACCACCACGGTTGATGACTCTCAACGATAGGATCTACTGGTCGAGGTTGGCGGGCCGGTCTGGTTCGCATTCGAGGTCCATAAAGGCGGTGATGCTCATATATATGTCTCTTGTAGAGGTCTGGGTCGTGCCGATGATTGTGAGAGCAGCCCGATAGCTTGCGGTGCTTGGAGGATGATATCACGAGTCGAGACGAAACGGAGTGTATAGCGAGAGGGTGAGTGCCGGACAGATGTCCGGACCCCCTGATTGCGCTCATATGCGATGTCGTCATCAAAATTCCCATGATGCTGCCCTTTTAGCTTTGTGTTGTTCGGATTTTGGTTGAAATGAGAAGCCAGAGACGGGACAAAACAGGCGAGCAACAGTAACCTCAGACCGAGACGGCCGCGAGGCTATAGTCAGTCACATCGAACGTGTAGTGACGAGCCAAGAAGGACGGCTGACATAGACCAGGCGCTAGTATTTTAGGCCAAGATCATAGTCTGAGATATCTTAGATAGTTCCCAGGTCCTATGTCGATGACTTTGGAAGGAGTTTGAGAACGTGCATTGAACAAGTCCATGAAGGTAGGTTGTTGGTTGAAGCAGCGATAAGACGAGGAGAGTGGAGAGAGTTCCGATAAGGCCAATCGGTCAATGCGGGGTTAGGGGGCTGAGTCAGCTACCATGAGATCCCTCACACTACTGAACCATCTTATCGATGCCGGCCGAATGTATGTGCTTGAGATGATACCCAAATAATGGTTTAATGACGCGTCTCCGACCATTATCTGCTATCTCTATGTCCCTTTGTCCCAGTTTCCACGGACACACATATGTCTGCTTTCTGTCAACGCCAATCGTTCTCTATAATATTACTGCTTAGATACATCTATTGACATCGTCTAGAACTATCCCTGACAACCCCAAATCACCGACAATGGAGGTGTCAGATAGAAAGTTGGCCCAAAATCGTAATCCTTCAATGCCCTCCTCCCGGCAGAGAACTCCCTTGTCCTCGGCCATTTCTAACTCCTCCGCTGCAACACCGACACTCCATCCGAATCGCTGTGCTGCCTCCTGGGCAGTGACGGCACGTCCAAACATACGCCAGTCCCAGGCAACTGGTTCCGCTGGAGGCACTTGTCGGAGCTCTGTCATCCAGGTCTGTATCTTTCGGAGTGTCTCCTCATCGCTCCAGTCCCACCTCTGAACAACAAGCAAGCCACTTTTGAATTGGCGTAGGCGCACCGGCAGTCGAAGTGTCTCCCATAGCTCCGCTGCCTTTTGGAAATCGGAGGGGCTGACGAGCTCAACGCCGTTCCGAGACCGGTTAAATATCGCCCAGAGGTCAATAAGGCTTATGATGCCGCCTTCTTTGTTGAGCAAGCCCTTGCGGTCGTCAATCAAATACTCGGCCAGATTCCGGGAGAGTTCTGAGATGTACAAGCTTCCAGCGCCACTACCAAGCATATCCTTAGTCGTCACCATCCCCATCGTTTCTGCAGACTCCAGAAGGACTGCATTCGCTTCTCCTGAGAGATCGCCATTGGTCATGCCCGTCTCTCGCATAGACGCAGCAAGCGCCATAACCTGCTTGGCGGATGCCATCAGCGCCTCTAAGTCCTCAAACGCATTTCCAATAACAAGTTCATTGTTCTTGCGGGCCTGGAGACCTCGCTGTTCGAGGCCTGCAATGCCCACTCCAGGAGACCGGGATGGTGATGGCACACTCCCTTCCGCAGGTGAAGCCACTGTTAAGCCCGGAGAAGAGATCGCGTTCAATTGCGACGGCTGCTGCGGCACGGGTGGGGCATCATAAAGCAACCATTTTCTCTGAATCAAAGCGCCTTTCAATCTCTCATGAAAGATCTGTATACCACCGGCCCGGAAAGACAATTTCATACAGTCAGTAATCTCCGTGCTCTTAATGCTATTATGGCTGAAAACGGGTGCTGGCGATTCTGCGCGATACGAATCCATCTGGGTAGACTTCAAAGCACCCACCGCCGCTGCCAGGGAAGCACCACAGATCTCACATTCGGCGAGAGACGGGTGATTCACAAATGTGCAACGTGGACATGACACCTGAGCGTTGTCCGAGGACGATAAGCCCCGAGAGCCGTTGACTGGAGCTGCGCCTCCAAGCCCGGACAAAGTCGGATTGGTTTGGGTTGGAGGACCATCTCGGCTGGCTGTGGCAGTGATAACAGCTTTAAGAATTGTAGCTAAAGGCGGTTTAATGCCACAAGCTAAACAAGGTGGGATTGGTGTCGACGCTGTGGCTGTAGAGGGGTCGAAGTTCGAAGGCACGGGATTAGAAAACGAGCATATAGGACAAACCCAGGTCGCATTGATGGCCTTGGGAGTGACAGGCTGAATCTGAGGTCTAGGGGCCAGAAGGCCCGGTGACTGCCCCCGAGATGGGCTCGCGCCAGCACTCTTCGATTTGCTGAGGGAGCTCTTTGGCGGCTTGGGATACAATGTGATCTTCGGTGACGATTTCAGGAAGCCTGCCTGAATTGAATCAACAACTGAACAGAGTACCACTCCAGGTGAGTCATACCTGATACTCCGCCCTATCAACCTCTTTCAGATCGATGGCAACAGAGTACTTCCGTGGCTCCTCGAGCGCGACATAGCACACCCGGTGCGAGGTCAAGTATGCATGTCCATTCTGGTAGTTGGGAATTTTGTATTTTCTACCATGGCCACAATATTACCATCCCTTGAAAGTTAGACAAAAGAGACACGGGTTCGCTGGCATTCACTCTAACTTGTTCAAAGGAAGCGCTGGCTACTTACCCTTCGTACAACCCCACCGCATCCTGGACAAATAATAAGGTTTCATCGGGCAAAAGTGCAGGTCGGAGTGCGGTAGTTAGATCCAAAGGCTTGAAGAACATCTAGTCAAGCCAAACAGCATCTCTTCACCGGTCGAGCTGTGAAGAGGGCAAAGTCTTTCTTGTTTGAAGATTAATTGAGAGATCTGTTTGATTGTTTGGAGGATGACGATGGTGTCTCTCCCTCTTCGTTATCGGTAGGTTTAGATCATCGGCAAGGCTGCTAACGTAATCAGTGACATTGCACTAGTTAACGGACTACGGCAAGCGACATCATCCACTGGCGCCAAGGGAAAATCTCCGCCACCGCATGAAGTGGAAAGTGAGCGGTAAGCAGCTTGACTTTACTTGTCCTCCCTCACTCCTCTTTCCTCCCTCGATCCCCTTCCAGTTCTCCTTCCCCTCTTTTTTAGTGAAAACGCTTCGTCTTTATCAAACCCCTCCCTCCACAGACAACTTCGAGACTTCGTCCCTCCTGTGGATTTGTGGCGGCAAACATACGTCTTTCTCCTGATACTGTCGTCTTTGCTTTGTCTGTGTAGGAACGATGTTTTGACCTGTCTCCTATAATATCGAAATCAACTCACTCGTAGCTCATACTTCTTTTTCTTGCCTTTCATCCTTCGCTTTCCCTATATCCCTTGTTGGCCCTCGCTTAGACCTGTGTCAAATATGAGTTCTGGTATCCCACCTTGGCGTGCCACGGCGGCAGCTCCTACCGCCACGACTTCTCTGTACTCCAGTCATGGTATGTGTACTCCTCGTTCACTCACCCCATCATTTCTAACTAAGAGGATAGCAACCCCTGCCTATACCCCTGTTCAAGCACGCCGTAGTATTACCACTGCAAAAACAACGATCTCGGGCCCAACACCGGCTTCGTCGCACCAAACATCCACGGAAACCGCCCCCCGCAAACAACGAGTAGAGTGGCCAGAACCGGTTCGATTGTACGTACAACGCAGTTTTGCACCTGAAAACCGGCTCGCTGGAGTCGAGCGAGGCGAGATGGAAACCAAACTGCGAGCCGTCATCACCGAGGCGGCCGAGAATAACATGCTCGATAAGATCGATTGGACCAACTTGCCTCTGCCTCAGGTCATGGTTCAAAATGATCGAAACAAGATATTAGCTAGCCCTAGCGTATCGACTTGGGGCACCTTCGGCACACTTTCACCCAAGAAATCCAATAGCAACGGGCTGGAAGACGTGTCGAAGAAGAGGAAGTCGGTTGAGTACCAAGGGGATGCGAACGGCTGTCCCCCTTGGCGGAAGACTAACAATCACAATGCTTTTGAAGATCGAGTCACCTATGCCTCAACTGATAAGCGCCAAAGAATAGATTTGAAGAATACTAGTAAGTCTAAAGCCAATCTGGAAATGCGGAGGAAACGCTTCGAAGAGCCCCAGGCTTCTAATGGTTCCTCCGCGTCGTCTCGCGGCACCTCACCCGTCCCTGCTGCAAACACCGGCCCTGTTGTCGGAACTTGCCAGGAGTTGGAAAAGAACTATTTCCGCCTGACTGCCGCACCGAAGCCGGAGACAGTGCGGCCATTGCACGTTCTGCATAAGACCTTGGACGTGCTGAAGAAGAAGTGGAAAAAAGACAACAACTATACATATATCTGTGACCAGTTTAAGTCATTGCGGCAAGATCTGACAGTGCAGCATATTAAGAACGAATTTACTGTCAGCGTCTACGAGATTCATGCCCGAATCGCGTTGGAGAGGGGGGACCTTGGTGAGTATAATCAGTGTCAGACTCAGCTTCGCGCACTGTATGCACAGCAGCTTGGCGGGCATCCCACCGAATTCCGGGCATATCGTATCCTCTACTTCATTCATACTCGCAATTGGACGGCCATGAACGATGCTTTAGCCGATCTAACCCCAGCAGACAAACGGGATCCTGCTGTGAAACATGCCTTGGATGTACGCTCTGCCCTTGCTCTCGGAAACTACCACCGATTTTTCCAGTTGTACCTCGATACCCCGAACATGGGAGCTTATCTCATGGACATGTTTGTGGATCGCGAGCGATTGTCTGCCTTGGCAGCAATCTGTAAAGCGTGAGTGGTACCTATTCGCCGGCTTAATTCACCTGCTAACCTCGAAATCAGATACAAACCCGACGTAAAAATCCGATTTATCACCGAAGAACTTGGTTTCGAGTCCGATGAGCAGAGTGCACGCTTCATTCTGGATCATTCCGCTGAGGATCTGCTTCAGGAGAAGGAGGGGTCTGTGAGACTCGTGACGGGGCCCAGGGCCGGCCAGCTTTTTGAGGCTGCCAAGGCCGATGCTCATCGGATCGTCGACATCAAGGGCCAGATCTAAGTTTATCTCTGTTTCTTTCAAGCCATTCTGCACAGCTTCATTCTACATCACCTGGATACTCTTGCCTACCCTCGACATATCAATTTTCCTTCTACCGTCATGGTGTTTGGAGTCATCCTTTTCATATCGTTTTACCCCGTCGTATTCCCTTTTCTCTTTTCTTGCGGCACACCAAAATATCTTTATATCGGCATCGCAGGCGTCTGGATATAAACTTTTCGTCGGAGTGAGGAGATCTATACCCATTTCGACTCCGAGCGTTGGTTGAGCTGCGATTTCTTTATGAGTTGGAGTGGGATGAGGCAGAACAGTACTTCTAACCTTTAGTTTGATAAATCTCGGTAGTGCCATCGAATACGAAGATTTTTTGTATTCAGTTTCCCGAGGTGCGGAAGTAAAACCAGGGCGAGCAATGGTCC